GATTGTCATATAGCGAGAATTTATTTGGATATTTTATTTGTTGTGTTTTTAAATTTTAACAGTAGGCAACCCAGCTTAACTATCCTTTCAAGATTGGTTGACTAATATAACGTTTATTGCTATTAAAATTTTGCTGAAGTAGGTATTTAAAAATGTATCGCTCATTAAAAAAACATTTTTTTTTAATTTTTGGTAGGGACCATACTTCAAAAGTACAAAATAGTGCTGTTGAATATGAACACATTTATTAATTTATTATTACATACCTACATATAAATTATTTTCATTAAAATTTTTAATGCGCCTCCTATTTTTTTTGTTTTTTGGGTTTAGGTTATTAATAATTAATCCTATACATATATTTAAGTTTGTTTGTGGACAGTTTTTCTATATACAATATAAGTAATATTTTTTAACAATATTAAGTTTGGTTTAATTTAAAAATAATTTATAATAAAGGATATTCCTACCCTGAATAAGTGTATAAAAAGTATACTTTGTAAATTTTTTAATCCATAATTGTTGCCCAATTATTAGAAATGCATTGTGCGTTTATTTATTTGATAGCTAGAAAGTCTTACTATAGTAGGTATACCTATGCAATTGAAAAATAAACTACATGTAATTTTACGTTTTATATACGTTTTATCATCCAAAAAATTATATATTTTTTTGGATGATACAAAAGATAAATTTAAAAGAGATAAAAAAATATGTAGTGCGACTAGGTACTGTAGTCACGACTAGTCTCAGTGACGCAGTGATTATATTTTTTAAGAAATAGAGATAACTAAAAAACATACAAAAAAATTATTTTTGAAAATGATTTAATAATCTTTGCACTACATATAAAAACTTTTTACTACATAAAAAATGAACAGAGAAAAAATATGTTTTAATTTAAGAAATAATAATTGTTTGAATTTTTTTATTACACTTAAAAATATTATTTTATTTGAAACAATATGTTTAAAAAGAATAATTAAATTATATATTAAAAACAAAGAACTTTTTTTTAAATTGCATTTATTTGCATTTAATCTGTTTAAATAAACGCCAATTTCTTAAAAATATAATAACAAATTAATTTAAAAGGAACAGGTTTAATTTAAAAATATATATTTTTGTGTTAAAGAAATAAATATTAAATTATATAAATATTTTTCATTTATTCAGAAGAATACTTATTAGGTTATATCAAAATAAATAATTTATTTAATTTAAATAAATTTAATTTAAATTCATTAATCTTTTTTCTTTCTAGAGTACCAGATCAAAAAAGGTAGTTTTGGAAAATAAATTTAACATTTTAAATTTGATAATTTTTATATGAAATTCGTGATCAGCGACCCCAAAAACCCAATAATGAACATTATCAGGGCAATAAAATAATTATTTAAACAAAAAACAATAATTTACATTTTCCGGTCAATAAACAAATTACTTTTAAAAAAAGTCCGCCATTTTGAATTTAATACTTTTAATATTAAATTCGTAATCAGAGATCCCAGAAAAACAAAAATTTACATTTTCCTGGCAATAAACCAATTATTTTTCAACAAAAATCCATTTTTGGTTTGTGATCAGAGACCCCAAAAACCCAATTTTCACATTATTATGAGACGTAACTTGCCTCCCCCACTACCGGCGCCCATGGTTACTGCTAAAATGTTTTTTTTAATAAAAAAAATGTAAAAACAAAAAAATTAAAGTCTAATGCAAACAATATAAAAAATCGAATAAATATTTGGTTTTTATGTAACTAAACGTTTTTATTAGCTGGTTTATCCAAATTTACATAACCACCTACCTATCTAATTTATTGCAAAGAAAGTGTGCAAAAAATTATCATTATTAATATTATTACGAAATCGGCGCCCGAAGTGTAAATTTTGATTTTTTTAAATTGGTAAGTATATACATTTTTTAAAATTTAAATTTGTGTCCAAAATGAGTTGTCTAAGTTTTATACATGAAGAAGAAAAACAATATTTAGTACCTAAAATGGCGAATCCACAAGGATATTATTATTATTTAGTATTATCTTTAAATAGCGAACAATTAAGATATAAAATAAAAACATTTAATTTTTTAATTCCGATTGAATAAATATTAATAAAGATTTAGTACTTAAATCAGATGTTACAAGAGTTTTAAACTAAATAAAAAATATGTCTATACGCTTTCTTGATTTATGAAACATATATTAATTTGATTTTTTTCCTGTTATCCAATTAATTTTAAAGTTTAATCAAAAAAATACTAAAAAAAATTAAAACCGTTAGAGATACTTCTACAAGTACAAACTTATTAGAATTGCTAAAATTTTAAATTTTAACGATTTACAGTTCTTATAAGTATACTTAATTAACAATAGTTTTAAGTTGTAGATTAAGATATCAATTAAATAAAATTCAGAAATTTTTACCTTTGTATTTATTAAATAAATTTTATTTATATCTCGATTTCTTTCTTCGCACCATAAAAACCTACCAAATTTAAGTATATATTGAGATGTTCCCCAAGTAAAAATGATTATTTTTTATTTTTGGTTGTTTCACTATTAGTCTAGAATGGGGTTTTTGGGAAGCCACCAGGTCTAGTATTACTAGTAATAACATAACATAAGTGGTTCTGCACTAATGCAAGAATTTTAAGAAATCATACATTTTGAATATTAGAGCTTCACGGAGGATAGGATTTCGTATGTTTTTTTAAACATCCCTTTGTATATTTGAAATAAGTTATTGTATCATTTGTCACCTTAATATTTTTAAAAATTACAATTGTACATACATAAAATATTTATAAAAAAATCTACTTACTGAGATATTACACTTCACGGTGGATAGGTTTTTAAATAACAAATTAACTTTTGAATTATAAAACAGCAACACTCATCTGCATATAAATTCTAACTAACCTTCAGGAATCACATGCATCTATAATGTCGTAAACAGAGGTTTTTGCTTATTTAAAATGATTAAAGCGCCATTCGTTGCATAAAATTTAAAGCAAAAACAGATTCACGGAGGATAGAATCAACCTACATAAATGGATATAAAAATTATTTCTTTTAATTTTTAATAATATTTTATATTTGATTCGATTGCTTTGGATGTGTTTAATTTACTTACTAAAAATATCAGTTCACTATAGTGAACTAATATTTTTGGTATGCTTTTAATACTTCAGATATTTGAAAACATATAGGTTAACCTCACGGAGGATAGGTTTTAGACTTTTAAAACATTGTAAAAAATAATTAATTGCGGTTAAAAATTTGGAACCTAAGCTGTAATATCTTAATTATGAAAGATTGAAACACAATAAAATTGTAGGTCAAACTCATTTAGTTTTATTAAATATCACGGGGTAACACTATCGGGGGACATTTGGTGAGATTCACCCATTAAGTAATTTTCCAGTTTTTTTTTAGAAAGTTAAACAAATTTTTTTAGGAATTTTGATTTTTTGACACAAATTATCAGAAAATGGTTAGTTTAACCATCTATGCCCCATAATATGTCATTTAGGTGTATTACGCACACAGTGTTGCCAAGTTTTTTATTTTTTTATTTATTTTTTTCATTTAACTTAAAAGCCTTATGACTAGGTAAAAACGGGTGGTATTTTCTGGACACCTTGTATACAATTTATTTTCATACATTAATATATATTTAACACTTTTGTTTTACTTTAACAATTTAGGTTCCCGCAACTTGACAATAATTTTTAAATGTGCAAACCAATTATAGTGAAACAAACAATTTTCATAGAGTGCAAACTAAAATGGTGCAACGGTCAATGAGGAGTGAAGTGTACAGTGATGAATGAGTTAAGTGCCACCTGTCATTGGACGCTTTTCACTGGACAAACAAAGTAGGTCAAGAGGGGGGTGGCCATCCGCAAAAAAATTGATAAGTAACCTTAAGCATATGCATGACCTAACATATAATCTGCAAATTAAACACGACAGATATCTTTAAAACCCTAAGAAAGGCACACTGCGTAGGACAATAAATCTGTCAACAATAAATGCGTAAGGCAAACCCAAACGAGAATAATAAACACTAGACGCACAGAATAAACTAACACATTATTCATTATAACCCTAACATAGTAAAAAAAGCATAATAACCAAACTCTACTGGATTTGTAAACATTAAATAACAGAATATATTATATATATAATATAATTATAATTACGCTTTTCATTTGTTTAACTAATAAATAAATGCAATACTTATTGATGGTTTTCGGCATCAAGACTGAGGACACGGGCAATGGCAATAACAACCAAGACGAAGACCTCGACTAGGAAACTACACCTCTGCAGCGAAATAACAACTCCCCAACTCCAAATGTTTGGAGTAATACTAATCGACTGGTCTAGGGGGATTCCGCGTCGTACTTAGTTTTAAGTCGGCGTAATTGTCCCCCAAAAACCAACAAACGTCTATCCCTCCCGTCCCTCCTCCTCTATACCCTACTGGGCGTATAGCATCGGCTCGGCGAACCCGAGAATGGCTATTAAAACTATTCGCATGTCTTTAACAGAGGTAGGTAGACATATTTATAGACTTGTGTTGGGTTTTCTGAAATCAGAGTAATGCATTATTGTTATTGCAATTAAATAATTACTTTTTTGTTTAAAACAATACAAATGGGCAAATCGTTCCGCTGACTGATATCATAACACAATCAAAATGTGTGTCACATAGGTATAATAGAATAAAATTAGTAACTTAAATTATTAGAACATAAAGCAATTTTCAAGAAAGAAGAGCATCAGCATCGAACAATTTTCGAAAAAAATTTAAGCAACAATAATGCACTTTCTATATTCTATAAGCTCGCATGTTGAAAACAGCTCGTCGGCCAGCGCACGTTGTTCTTTTGCAGACTCGCATTACAAATTTCTTCCAGCGGTAAGTAGGTTAGGAGAAAGTCAACTTTTTACAATAAACAGTGCAAACTATTTAGTTTAACATTGGCGGTTGTGGTGCACGGTGATACAGTTACAAAATTTTACTAACGTAAGTCTCAACCAGTCAATTTTAAGGGGTTAGAATTCCAACCAAAGGGGTTGAAGATATACAGTTTTATACACTCACAGGCAAAATAATCGATCCACACAAATTTTCGATGAATTTCAATCGCAAATAACTTTTTTATTTGATTTCGGATTTAAACAAATATTAAAGCATATTGTAGATACATTAATGGAGAATCGCTCACATTTTAAAAAAATACTAAAAAATACACGTACGTTTATAATATACAGGTTTAAACAAAAAGATGTTTTTTACCATAAGTTTAAGACACTCTGTAGAGTGGCAAAACCGTATATTGTTCTAAAGTTTTAATTATCAAGTCACATATATTTTGAACAGTTTTGTTTTTGGTTAACCTTGATATATTTATTTTTGTGGAAAATATGGATTTTTTTTTAAAACATTGCAGTTTCCAATATTTTTCCTGTATGAAGAACTAAGGTTGCTATGGTCCATCCATAGCCTACGGAGGTATTTATTTTTGTGGAAAATATGGATTTTTTAAAAAAACATTGCAATTTCCAATATTTTTCTGTCTGAAGAACAAAGGTTGCTATGATCCATCCATATGCTATGGAGAATGACAATGACAGTTTTGTTGAATCATCCCATACTTTGACATGTCATATACAGCTTTCAAAAGCTATCAAATTGTTTTTTGTAAATTAATGTGTTAATTTTGAGGTGTCTTCTTACTTTTAAAAAAGTCTCCGACTGATGTTGCCCTCTGTACTTTACTTCTTGTGGCGTTTAAAACACTTGCCACGTAATACTGTGACCGTCCATCCTGGATTAAATTAATGGCTCTGGCAACATCAGTCGGGGACATGTCCATTTTTTAAACTTAATTTGCAAAAACAATTTGATAGCTTTTGAAAGCCGTGTACAAGTGGGATGATTCAACAAAACTGTCATTGTCATTCTCCATAGCATATGGATGGATCATAGCAACCTTAGTTCTTCAGACAGAAAAATATTGGAAATTGCAATGTTTTTTTAAAAAATCCATATTTTCCACAAAAATAAATATATCGAGGTGAACCAAAAACAAAACTATTAAGAATAGATGTGACTTGATAAATTAAACTTAATTTAGAACAATATACGGTTTTGGCACTCTACAGAGTGTCTTAAACTTATGGTAAAAAACATCTTTTTGTTTAAACCTGTATATTATAAACGTACGTCTATTTTTTAGTAATTTTTTAAAATTTGAGCGATTGTCCATTAATTTATCTACAATATTCTTTAATATTCGTTTAAATCCGACATCAAATAAAAAAGTTATTTGCGATTGAAATTCATCGAAAATTTGTGTGGATCGATTATTTTGCCTGTGAGTGTAGTTTTAAATGGCACATCAAAAGGATGATCTTATTAAATTAAATTAATAAATTAATTTCATTTTTACAGTTTACCTATAGTTAAACTTGTTTTTTGGAACACATTAAACTAGAGCAGAAATTTCCCAAATGATTGAAAGGAAAATTAGAACTATAGTTCTAAGAATTGGAAAATAATATAATCATTAATATCACGTCACGTTATAAACATTTTTGAGAAAAATCATTATCATTATCATTTATTACGTTTTGAAAATCACTGCTCAATTAAAATTGTCAAAAAATGGTAAATCATTTAGGTACTTACTTTTGGTTGGTAGGTAAATACAGTTGTCAAGTTGGTCGCATTGATTAAAACAAACTAAGCTAGTTATAAATCCAATTGTGGTTATGTATAAATTATTGTAGGTTACATTGTGCAGTTGTCAAGTTGAGTTGTCGAAATTCGTAGTTAAAAATGCAATTAATTTGGCTTTGGTGGTGCTTGGATGAGTAAAATCATATAAAAAAGTAGTTAAATATAGGTGGCTTTACGGCCCAGAAGAGAAAGTATTCCTAGCGGATAATAATCTTCGCTTTGAAAAGATTTTATATAAAAGAAATTAAAATTTTTTGTGAACGTAAATGTTGTCCAATGGTGAATAATGTGAAAATAATGTGTGATGTAATATTTATAAAACCAAATTCGTTACTTTTTTACTCCAAAAATGTCCATAAGGCGATGTACTTTTTTCCATTGTGGCATTTGGCATAATTTCATCAAAATGAAGTGTTGCCCTCAAAAGGGCTTTAACATTCGAATTCGTTGCTTTTTATTTATAATTGACAAGTAAATTATCAATAGTAAATATTATTGTCAATTTGACAGTGTCAAAGTATTTAATTAAATTTTTTAGCAGAAGTACCATTTTTAAATACTAAGAATATCAAGTCAAACTGGCATAAGCCACCAACCTAACAAAAAAACACGAGTCCAGATAAAAAAAATTAACTGTGCCTATTCTAATAACCTTCAAACCCCTTAATAAGGACGTTTATTTTTACAATATCTTAATGAATCATAAAACTGTTAAAACTAAAGTACATTGAATGACAAAGGCATAATAAATAGATACTGACCTTTACAACAGCTATACACAACCAGTGTACAATATTGAATTTTTTTTAATCTTAGACAAATCAGAACCCGGAATAAACTATATTATATGAGAAATTTTTATAAGGCGTGTCTGATTGCGAGAAGTTTTTAAAAAATGGAAGCATGTGTGATAAATAATATGAATTAAGTATTGATATTAGTTTGAATATTATTTATTCAATGTATATACCTACATACCAACAGTACATACATTCGAGCAAACAAAATAATTGCTTGGATTACCCATTGTGTTTTTACAAAAAACTGTTATTAAATAAGTGGATTTAAATCTAAATTTTAATAATTATTGCTAACGGAAATATAACAATTTATTTCACATTTTATGAAATTATTTTGTATAGAATGTTTAGGAAGAAAACTGGTAAGCGAATTTTATTTTATTTGTAATATCAAAAACCGATTATTTTTTTAAATTGTATTATTATGATAAAACTAAATATACAACGAATATTTTTGTGTATCCTGGAGAAAGTGTTAATTGGTGGTTACATATGTTACCGTCTGGTGATAAAAACATTATGTAACGCAAAGAAATATTTTCTTTTTATTTATTTTTGATTATTATAATCTAAAGTTACTTATGTATAAAGGTACTCGTTCTAGTAATGCATTAAACACACGTGTATTTTTTTAATTTAAATTTTTATTTAAAATTTTCGTTTAACATAACTTGGATTTTTATAGTGCAAACTTGTTTAATGATAAAAAATACAAGATAAGTTTGTAATTAAATTTAAAATAACAAATGTTTGCTTTATTCATCAATTATTTTCCACAAGGGGGAATTTTGATAAAACATTTTAAGGGGGAATTTACAGCCATTTTATACGAAAAAATTACTCTATAAAACTGCCTATTATTTTTACCCCGTGATATTTAATAAAACTAAATGAGTTTGACCTACACTTTTATTGTTTTTGATATTTCATAATTAAGTAGATATTACAGTTCAGGTTACAGATTTTTAACCGCAATTAATTATTTTTTACAATGTTTTAAAAGTCTAAAACCTATCCTCCGTGACTGTTACTATTTCTAGGTTAACCTATATGTTTTCAAATATCTGAGGTAGTAAAAGCATACTAAAAATATCAGTTCACTAAGTAAATTAAACACATCCAAAGCAATCGAATCAAATATAAAATTTTATTAAAAATTAAAAGAAATAATTTTTATAACCATTTATGTAGGTGTTACAAAAATTGATTCTATCCTCCGTGAATCTGTTTTGCTTTAAATTTTATGCAACGGATCATTTTAAATAAGCAAAAACTTTCTGTTTACGACATTATAGATGCATGTGATTCCTGAAGGTCAGTTAGAATTTTTATGCAGATGAGAGTGTTGCTGTTTTATAATTCAAAAGTTTAAGTTCATTCATTTGCTATTTAAAAACAATTACCTATTTTCAAATATACAAAGGGATGTTTAAAAAAAATCCTAACCACCCAATTATAAAATCAATTTATTAAAGCGTTAAAAGTTTTGCCCATGAAACATTATCTTTTCTTTTACTGTGAAAAACTGCTGTTATATCGATTGTTAGTCTATTTTTAAGGTATAAATTTTGATTTACACAGAAAAATTTAAGATTTTAACGCCGATAGATTCCCAAGTTAGAAATTCTAACGGGAATTTCAATAAATACAACAGTTGCTTTTGTACCTTTAACATTTTCCGTGTAATAATATTTTGCAATTATAGTAATAAAAAACAACAAAGGATAACATATTTTCTTTTTGACCCTTTAACATTTTCAGTGTAAGAATTTTTCATACTTTCTGATAATATTTTGAAATTAAAGTAATAAAAAAAATCAAAGACAAATTTTCCTAACATAATCATATTTTAAAGTATCAACAATTGTTAAGTTTAATTAAAATAATAACGGGCAATGTTAATGGTGAAAATTACGTCAAAAATGTTTATTGAGATGGTTACTTTATTTACGCATAGATGTCGCTATTATATATATTTAATTTAAGTCAATTTTTAGATGATATTAGATATTTGTCGTAGAAAAAATATAGTACGAAGTGTGTTCAGAAAATATCGGGAATTTTCGTTTTTTGAAACAAATATTTATTTATTCGTCTACATTAATGTTGTCGCCGTCAAAATAGTCCCCATTGGGTATTATGCACATGTGCCAGCTCTTCTTCCAATACTCGAAACACTTCTAATCTAATCTTTGGGATAGCCTTTAGTTCTTTCAGCGATGCGCTTTTAATGTCATCTATGCTTGCAAAACGACGGCCCTTTAAGGTTCTCTTTATTTTTGGGAATAACAAAAAGTCAGACAGAGGCATGTCTGGCGAATATGGAGGCTGGGGCATCATTACAGTATTGTTTTTGGCACAAAAATTTTGTTCAAAATTTAACAACTTTAGAACAAATTTTGCTGCCACGCGTTTCATACCCAAAACATTCGAAAAAATTTCATGGGATGCGCCAATCGATATACCAACATCATCAGCGACTTCTATGATGGTTTATAACCATTTCTTTCACCTTTTCCATTTTTTAATCGGTTGTTAATGTGCTTGTGCGTTCGGGGCGTTCGTCATCTTCAACGTCTTCACGGCCATCTTAGAAACTCTTGTTTTACTTATAGCAGACTCACTATAGGCCTTTGTTAACATTTCACAGAATTTATTTAATTTTTTAAGCAAAATTGGATACAAATTCTTTGATTCATTTCTTTTAACGAACGAAAAATCGCCGAGCTCATAAAACACGTCTAACCTTAGCGGCTGCCACAGACAAAGTAAACAACATGTATACCAACATAATAAAGAAAATTTTATTACAACCGGACCCTCCGAACCCGCGAAATTTAACAATTCCCGTTATTTTCTGAACACACCTCGTATGCAACTTGTTTTATAAACTTCTCTAGACAGCTCGTGCCCACAAAACTAGAAGGTTTCTAGTTTTGTGCTCGTGCCTAATAGAACTCGTAACTAAAATGGCCTTTATAAAACTCGATACATAATATACTATTTGTGTTTTTTAGTAATATTATCATATTAAGATATTATAAATATTACTAAAAGCTGTTTAATAAAATTAATTAGATTTAGAACTAAAATAATAATTAAATATGTAGGTATAGTATAATCTACATATTAAATTAATATTATTGGTAGGTTTGGTATGTACTGGATTTTTATTTTCTTACATATATATGTATATACAATCCAAATAAGGAAAAAAACGCTATATCATGAAAGTCTACGACTGTACATACTATTTATTTAGATCGTATGAAGGTAGGTTCTTTCGATAAAGTTTATTTGTAAAATGTTAAAACATTTTATACTAGTACCTACAACAAATAGGTAGTGAATATGTGAATCGTTTTTACACAATTTATTTAAATTGTTAATCTTGGTAAGTTTAAAATGTAGATTCAATTATAGCATGTGTAAGCATTAACAGGTGCTTTCTTTATTAATTAAATACATGAAATCATCACAAAATAAGAACAGCTTCCACAAAACCACAATTAACTTCATTAAGGCGAGAAATAATATTAAAACAATTTTATCATCCATTTAAGCGAATAAAAATCATAAGTATCATGCGAACGCCTATGGGAATCGATGTCACTTGCCATACCAGTGATTTTCAGTGTTAAGGCTGCGTTTTGTGAAAGTGACGCGGAAATAAAAGAAAGTAAAATGCTTTCTTCGCAAGATTGAAATGCCTGACCCATTTTAAACAACACTCTATAATAGTACGTGATCTGCTACCGCTTTTTTGTTTTTAAAATTAATGTACTTTGAGCAAAAAAAATGGCCATCAAATATTAATTATCATTTGTGCATTGTAGACTAAAACCCAAATAAATTATGTACGAAATAATCTGTAAACGTCAGATAATAACTAATTAAAAATCAATAACACGCTCACAGCTCTACGCTTTTATTTATAATATATTTTTATTGCAGACACCAAAATGGGTTTGGGCGGTGACAACTCCGTAGAAGATTACGTTTGCCAGTTGAACGCGACTGAGAGGAAAAGGGCTCTAGATGAACTCAGGGAGGACGATAACATTAGGGAGCAGTCCCTTGAACAGATGAGAGATTGGATCACCAAACACCCCAACATCAAAAAGTGCAGAACAGGTAAAAAACGACAAAGTTTGATTTTTTTCTCCTACCATGAAAAATTTCTATAGATTTTAAAAACAGACTTATAAATGGACAACCAGTAGGATTATTTATTTATTTTAAAATTATTTTAATTATATACAGGCTGTTGCACATTTACGAAATACCGGTGTTTCACGTTCGTGGTCCATTGAAAGTTTCTGAGGAACGGCAAAAGATATCGATTTGAAATTTTTAAAGCGTTTATAATCCAATTAAGCCTATTTTTCTAAAAACATTTTAAACAAAATGCCACTTCCGGCTTGACCGGAAGTGACATCAACATATATTTTAACATTTTTTAATTCTACATAAAATTTTGAGTAAAATTACTGTACCATATCCTAATACCTAGAGTAAATAGTTTTGGAATTATTAATTTTTTCCGTTAAAATATGACAAATGCGCGTCAATCAAAAATACCCTTTCTTGCTATTAGGTTTGCTGAAATGGGGGTGGAATTCAAGAATAAGTGTAATTTTTTTTTTGTTTTTTAATTTTTGACGTAAGAATTTGTAGTCTGTACTTACATATATAATATTGATAGGCCCACAAAGATTTTTAGCCCAGGGCCTCCAAAGTCAACGGTCCGCCCCTGTTTACAGTAACCTTATATAACCATTATAAAACTAGCAAACTAAATGGCGATTTTATAAAACCTTGTTAAACTCTTATATAATTTGACAAATCTTACACAGGGTGTCCCATAATTAGCGTGCAATACTTTAACAGCAGATTCTACGTACAAAAATAAGAAAAGAAGTTCCTATGAAAATAGGAAATGCCCCCGAAAGAGGAGCCCCTGAAGATTGTTTTTATTTAATATCTCCAAAACTGTTTAAGATAGAAAAGTGAAATTTTGGGATATAATCAAACTTTTTATAGCCAATAAGTTGGAATATTAACAAATTCAAAATTTTCATAACGGGTGGGTCAGATAGGGAGGGGGGTAAAACCATCCTAACTTTTTTGTACGTGTCTTGTGCTATGATTTGATATTAGATCATAAAATTTCAGAGTTTTACACACAAAAATGGTCCTCTTGATGAACTTCGATAGCATGTACCGTTTTCGCTCAAAATAGATTTAAAAATTACCTTACTTAGCATAAAAATTCATAATGAAATCACAACTAGAGAAAAAGATTCAGCGTAGGCCATGGACAATTTTTAAACACCCTGTCACATATTACATGAAACTGTCACCTGTCTTAAATAATTTTTCCTAAAGATGGCAGCTGTGTTCTATGGCCTACTCTGAATTTTTCTCTCTTGTGAATTCATTATGATTTTTTATGCTATTTAAGGTAATTTTTAAATGAATTGTAAGCGAAAACAGTGGACAATATCAAAGTTTAACAAGAGGACCTTTTTTGTGTGTAAAATTCCGAAATTTCATAATCTGACATCAAATCCTAGCACGAGACGCGTACAAAAAGTTAGGGTGGTTTTAACCCCTATTCCCTATCTATCTGACCTGAATTGTTGTTTGTTTTGAATTTTACTTTTCTACCTGAATATGGATATATTAAATAAAAACCATCTTTAGGGGCTCCTCATTTAGGGGCTGTATTTCCCTTAGAAAGCATTTCTCGGCCTAAGTTTATAGGAACTATTATTTTTGTACGTAAAATCTGCTTATTATGGGAGACCTTGTTTCACCTTTATATAATTTATCGTTTCCATAAGTAGTACAAATTGTTTATTGGGCGGTTAAAACAAAGCTAATATTTGGGATTTGTGGGTCAAAATTTTACCGTTTTATAGAAAAGTATAAAACATTGGATTATTTCAGATGCGCCGTTCCTGCTCCGCTTCCTGCGCACGAAAAAGTTCAGCGTGCCGCAGGCGTGCGAGATGCTGGAGCGCTACCTGACCATCCGGCAGCTGTACCCGCAGTGGTTCCAGAACCTCGACTGCGACGACAAGGACCTGGCCGAGATCATCGACGCCGGGTACCTGGTGCCGCTGCGGGACCGCGACTCCGGCAGGATGGTGCTGTTCAGCTGCGCCGGCAGCTTCGATCCCCACAAGTTCACGTCCGCCCACATGATCAAGGTTCATAGTTTAGTGACCGAGGCCTTGATGGACGACGAGACCAATCAGATCAACGGCTACACCTACATCAACGACGAGAGCGGCTTCCAGATGTCGCACATCTCGCTGTGGTCCCTGACCGACGTCAGGAACATACTCAGATGTATCCAGGTAACTTTGTTATTTTGCATCTCGCTATCGTTTGGTTACAAATTTTATTTATATAGTACAAACAGTTTATTATTATTTATTGTGCGATTTTAACTGGATTTATTTTAAAGTCTTCATAAACTAGATTCACCACCACTCAAAACGACCCTAAACTAATTCTTATTGAACATTTTTATGCCGGTTTTCCACTAAACGAACAGTTGAGTTTGGGTTTTGTTTGTGTTTTTAAAAACTTTTAAATCAAAAACAAAACTGAAACAAACCCGAAACTCTTGTTTCCATCAAACAAACTAAGTTTTGTTCAAATTTTGTTTTTGTTTTCGGTCCTTTTCCACTAGTTGTCATGATTATGTCAGACCACACTTTTTCAGTATCAACCAACATGTTTAGAGAAAAAGCTAACAGCTAACTGTTAAAGTTACAATTGTTGACATAATTGTAACTATGACAATTAAGGTAAAGGGTAAAGGTAAATTTAGTAAAGTGAATATACTGACCCTTAATTTTTATTTGTCGCCAAATCAATCCGTTAAACGTAATATAAAAACGGATCATTTTATAATAATATTCATATTATATTCCTCATAAGTATATAGAAATACTACAATGTAGTTTTTTTAAATTTTGTAACCTCATTTTTAGTTTAGGTTTAACTGTCAGACGACAAAATGTCACCATTATTGTTCGGCGGTCAATAATAATTTGACTTTTAAACTAGTACAATAATGTAGTGACTACTAGTTCAAAAGTTAAATTATTATTGACCGCCGAACAATAATGGTGACATTTTGTCGTCTGACAGTTAAACCTAAACTAAAAATGAGGTTACAAAATTTAAAAAATCTACATTGTAGTATTTCTATATACTTATGAGGAATATAATATGAATATTATTATACACTTGGAAAAAATATGTTTCTTACTTACCTACCAATTTAGTATGAAATTCGTATCTATTCGTAACTAAATTGTAGTATTTCTATATAGACTTATGAGGAAAATAATATGAATATTATTACACACTTGGAAAAATTATGTTTCTACTACTACTTACATACCAATTTAGTATGAAATTCGTATCCAGACTAACAAAATAAAATAAAAGTCGAAAACAAAAAACACAACACGACCGTTTCCACTAAACAGACTCGAGTTTCAAAACACGTCGAAACCTTTTGATGTTACCGCTTTCGAGCGGGACTCGAAAAACAAAACTCAAACTGTCGCAAAACACGCCAGTCTTCAAAAAGTTTGCAAAAAGTTGCAGTTTTGTTTTATTCGACACGAGTTTGTGTTTTGTTTTGTCCGTTTGGTGGAAAACCGGCATTAAGTAGGAACAATTTTGTAGTCAAATTAAAAATGAATAATAGGTGCGTTCTTTTCGCCTGAGATCTCATTTAATCTCAGCTCACGTCGGTAAAATTTGCAAATATGCGCGTTCTTTTTGCTTCACTCACCATGAAGTGAGCTGAGATTTTTCCTCCCTTCTCACCGATGCACATGCTGTGCGGGGAAATCAGTTTGAATTAAGTCGGAAATAAAGTGGAGGGGATAAAAAAATTATTTTTTGCAATAAAACTTAAATTTCCATAAAAATAATTAAATTTTGTAAATTAGCTCTAAACTTGATATAATACATAGAATTCGAATTCAGAACGAGAAAAACACTTTTTAAAATATAAATGAACAAAGAAAGTAAAAGTGAAGATTTTTTTATAATTTTTATTTTATATCATAAAATTAATATTCTTATCAAAAAATTGTTGTTTTTGTTTGTCACCTTCATCGTCTTCATCAAATAAAACTTTTATTATTATTTTTGTATTATCCATAATTCAACGCAAATTTAAACATAGAAAACCACGAAATTTAAACCAATAAGGATATAACAGAACATAATGATATCAGAGATAGGTTATGTTGCCTCTTATTCAGATTGCGCGTTTGAATTGAGCTTACTCACATCAGTACATCTCATATCACATCAACTGAAGTGAGCTGAGATCTCAGGCGAAAAGAACGCACCTAATATTAACTATTTCCAACAATTTATTCTGTCAAGTTATCCATGAAATAAAATTAAACTAATAGTAACGTGTTATAAATATTTCTATTCGTAGTTTTGACAAATAAAAAACGCAATAACACAAAAAATATTGAAATAAATGATGGATTAGTAAATGTGACGAAAATCTAATAGTGGAGGATTTTTGGTATTCTCTATTTTTGTTTTATTGTTCTATTGCAATTTTTATTTGTTAAAACTAAACGAAAGAATATGTCTACCATGTGACTATAGTAACTTTAAAAGGAAACGACGTACACGTTCCCTGATACCAAAATTTGATTCTAAGAATCTTCTAGGAAGATATGACCCGCAATAATGGAATATTCTTAGAACCTTCCCTTATTGCTAAGAATGTTTTTAGGGACTTTTAAAACATTCAATAGATACCCTTTTAATGATGCAATTAGATTCTTAGAAGCTTCTTAAAACCTTCCTAAAAAGCATTCTAAGAACATTTTAAGAATACTTTTTTGGAATGTTCTTAGAAGGTTTCTTATGGAGCTTCTAGGAAGCTTTTGAGAATATTTCCAAATATGTCAGATACCCACGTTCTAATATGTTGGATTCTACATTCGTAAAATTCTTCAGGAGGCGACAAATACGCCTCACTGTTATAATATGACAGTGAAATGTATTTGTCGTCCCCTTAAAAAATTTTACGACATATTAAAATACGTTTATTGAACTTGTTCTAATTTGGGACTAAAAAGATTCTTAGAATTTTTTCAATTTCCATAAAAATAATTAAATTTTGTAAATTAGCTCTAAACTTGATATAATACATAGAATTCGAATTCAGAACGAGAAAAACACTTTTTAAAATATAAATGAACAAAGAAAGTAAAAGTGAAGATTTTTTTATAATTTTTATTTTATATCATAAAATTAATATTCTTATCAAAAAATTGTTGTTTTTGTTTGTCACCTTCATCGTCTTCATCAAATAAAACTTTTATTATTATTTTTGTATTATCCATAATTCAACGCAAATTTAAACATAGAAAACCACGAAATTTAAACCAATAAGGATATAACAGAACATAATGATATCAGAGATAGGTTATGTTGCCTCTTATTCAGATTGCGCGTTTGAATTGAGCTTACTCACATCAGTACATCTCATATCACATCAACTGAAGTGAGCTGAGATCTCAGGCGAAAAGAACGCACCTAATATTAACTATTTCCAACAATTTATTCTGTCAAGTTATCCATGAAATAAAATTAAACTAATAGTAACGTGTTATAAATATTTCTATTCGTAGTTTTGACAAATAAAAAACGCAATAAAACAAAAAATATTGAAATAAATGATGGATTAGTAAATGTGACGAAAATCTAATAGTGGAGGATTTTTGGTATTCTCTATTTTTGTTTTATTGTTCTATTGCAATTTTTATTTGTTAAAACTAAACGAAAGAATATGTCTACCATGTGACTATAGTAACTTTAAAAGGAAACGACGTACACGTTCCCTGATACCAAAATTTGATTCTAAGAATCTTCTAGGGAGATATGACCCGCAATAATGGAATATTCTTAGAACCTTCCCTTATTGCTAAGAATGTTTTTAGGGACTTTTAAAACATTCAATAGATACCCTTTTAATGATGCAATTAGATTCTTAGAAGCTTCTTAAAACCTTCCTAAAAAGCATTCTAAGAACATTTTAAGAATACTTTTTTGGAATGTTCTTAGAAGGTTTCTTATGGAGCTTCTAGGAAGCTTTTGAGAATATTTCCAAATATGTCAGATACCCACGTTCTAATATGTTGGATTCTACATTCGTAAAATTCTTTAGGAGGCGACAAATACGCCTCACTGTTATAATATGACAGTGAAATGTATTTGTCGTCCCCTTAAAAAATTTTACGACATATTAAAATACGTTTATTGAACTTGTTCTAATTTGGGACTAAAAAGATTCTTAGAATTTTTTCAATTTTTTTTAACCAACTAAAAAACTTGCCCTTTTTTTCTTTAAATTTTCTTGGTTGATGTACCTTTTAAAAAAATATAAAAAAAAATTTTTTTTGTCAAATTCTTCAAATTTTTCGGTCAAAAAATAAAAAATGGCAAACTTGAGAAATTGATGGTTTTTCTAAAAAAACTAAAAAATCATAGAAAAAGTATAGAAATAGACATCAAATTTTTTTCTTCTGAAAAGTACATTTAAAATCAAAAAATTAAAAAAAAACGTCCCATTTAGTCAATTTTTGAAAAGAAATTTTTTTATTTTAATTTTCTTTTGCTTGGGTAAAAAAAATTAAAAAAATTTGGAAAAGGGGTGGAAAAATATAAAAAAAATTAGCCAAATCAAAATTGTTCAAAAGTGGTCAATTTGGCGTGGAACGACCCATATATAATAAAACCTTAAAGACCTTTAGATACTAAAGGACTTTTTTTTAATCAACGGGAATTTTTTTCAGCTTCTTGGAAAGAAATAATTCGATTACTTTATGTTTTTTTCCTAAATTCTGGAGTTTGATATTTTTTTGTTACGTTTTGATATTTTTACGAATTATTATAAACCTCCAAGACCTAAAAAAATTTTTAATGACACTTGTTATAAAAATTCAGAATTTCTGAAGTAGGCGCGCGATTTTAAAATTACAAAAAGCCTTCGTCTGAAGAGTTTGATAAATAAATATCAGTAGTCCCTGACAGCAAATTCAGGGGTGCCAATGTAGTAAAAATAGAACATTGCGTTTTAATTAATAAATTTAATTTGCAATTACTTATTTATACAATTAAATATTTCGACGATATTACCTTGAAAATTAATTACTTGTATAATAATAAGACTTTAAATTCTTAAAATTGTCTTACCATAGTACATGGACACAATACTCTTGTAACTTTTTTGTAAACAAATTCAATTTTGACCCAGTAATTCATCTTGAATTAAAGAAGTTTTTAATTTGAGATGATACTGCTTGAAAATTGCCTTTGTTTACAGAAAACAAACTATTAAAATGATGTTATCCATGTAAACAATTTTTAGAATTTTCTATTACCAATTGTTATAAAACTTTTTGGTAAATTACTGTTGCCTTGGTACCTAATAATCTGTATGGATTTTTAAATTTTCATAACTATCTACTTAAAATAATATAAATACATGTGTTATTTTTTTTAGAACACTACACCAATGAGGCATAAGGCCAATCACTTCCTTAACATATCACCAACAGCTATCAAGTTAATAGAATTTGCTATTTCTCTCCTAAATGAAAAACTGAAGAATAGAATTTTTGTAAGTATTCCTACATTTTAACTCAAACACAAAATCACTGTGAACCGTTTTTACAGATCTACAAAAGCATAGAGGAAATGTACAAAAAAGTAGACAAAAAAATTCTTCCCAAAGAGTATGGCGGTGAAGTACCCCTGAAAGAAATGTTGGCTACATTCAAGACACTCCTGAAGGATAAAAGGGAAAAATTGTTGGCCTTAGACGATATGTACATTGAAATCGATGAGAAATCTTGTCCTCTAGTCTCTGAAATGAATGAAGAACTCGGCATTGGCATTGAAGGCACTTTTAAGAAGTTAACAGTGGATTAGTTCTAGTCTTACTAATTTAATATATGAAAATTAACTTAATTTTTGTTTTAAGGTTAAGTTAAGCAATAAATGACAATTTCACGTTTGGTTTTTCGATTTTATGTTGCATTTTGAAAATGATTTGTCATTTTCTGCTTTGTTATGTGATAGAAATATAATATTTCTGATAATTTACCTTTACTTAATTAGAATATATATTTATCATTTAACTATATAATAGCTATTTTTAAGAAAATATGTTTGTTGTCCTTGGTGGAATTCAGTTACCTTTATAAATAATTTAGTATTAGGTCAATATGTATTTAAGTCATATTGTACCTATCACTTTTTTGTTTTTGTTAAGTTTGTTTACTATTTAAGCACTTTTGTAATAAAAATTATACACACAATCTCTGGTTTTAATTACATTTTCCTATCTTTATTCAAAACCCTTTCCCAAGCTACAAACAAGGAGACTTTAACCTTGTGGGCCACAAGTTGTGGCTACTTTAACAACTTATGCATAATTTAGGATAATATACAGTGAGGTTTTGGGCTTTTATCAATTTGAAGGACATTATTTTTAATAAAAACAAATTCGTTAAGAAGTAATACCTACCTGTTTTTATATTCAATTGGATTAGTATTTCAAAAATCACAAAATCGATACAAGTTATTGTGAGGAATAAGCAAATTTTAAAGGTTCATAACCCTAAAATTTACCGATATCAATAACGCTACCACATATTATACCAACATAAAACTGGTGATATTTAATTTTGAAAATTATTTTATAAGTAATTGTTTTTAAAATAAAATAGGATTAAATAAGGTAAAATTCATAACAAAGTAATAAAATTAAAGCAATAAACCGATTAAAAAGGCCTTAGAGAAATAATGTAAACGAGAGTTTTGAAGGTTGGGTGAACTGTTAGGTTGGCAATTCGTTTGTAACCAAAGTAGTAACAAGCTGTCGTCGGATCTCTGTACGCGCTACGAGGCGACACCATTTTATGTTGTATGTTGAATTTAAATCGTTAATGTTCTAAAAAATGAGTGATTATTCAGCGGTCGCTCCGCCACCTCAACAAAACTTCAATCAGTCTACAGCTTTTGCAGCAGCCCTACAACGTGCTAAACAAGTAAGTCGAAAGATATGAGCGATACAAGCGAAGCCGTAAACAACATGCTGGCATTTGCGAGACCTCATAAAGGCGGTAAATTTTTTAATAAAATGTCACTTTTTGTAGATTGCCGCAAAGATTCAACCCGTTGGAGGTGGAAATCAGCCGGATACCAGACCCAAGAGGCCATTAGAAGACGGTTCAGGTATTATAAATTATTTTCCATTTCCTTTATTCAATATTCCTAAAAATCATCTTCAACTAAAAAAAAACCAACGTGGTTTATTATCACCAATAACACCAACATAAACTACGCATTAGTTTTTTAAAGTGAAGGTTGATTTTTTGTTTTAAGGTATTACTTATGCTTAGTCACCCGTTAACAAACCTTTTATCTTGAAAATAAAGTATAATAGGTATATTATATTACTTTTCCTAGAAGTAATTTGTTGTTTTGTTCATGAGATAACATTTACCTACTAGGGCTGTTGTAGTATTTCACTTTTCATATCAACAAATTTGTTAAATCAATATCATCACCACAGACAGTAAAAATATTTAAGATTTGAAGAAAATCTTATCAAATTATGAAGCCCTTTAAAACCTAACACAGTTTTTTGAATGAAACCAAATAGTTTTATTAAAAGTGAGGTTACTTTACATGGAAAGTACTGGTTTCTTTCGTTTTAACCAATCAGCATTGTGTCTCTGTCATAATATATAGGGTATACAAAAAACAGTGCACTAACAGCACATCATGCTGTAGAGGGGTATTTTACATACAAAAAATGTTTTCAAGTTATTAAGCATATAACTTTTAAAAACTCGCTCTTTTTACTTTAAAAGAAAATGACATAAAAATATGTTTGTTATGGAAACAAAATAAACAGCGCATTTACAGAGGGCTCATATTTACATGGTCGACAGATGAATTTTTTTATATTTTGCCCAATAATCACATATTCAATTTTACAGAGCATTTTAAAGATTGAAAGTTTCTACACTGTTTAAATTATTTTTTCGTGACAAAACTTTAAATTATAACTTTCTTAATATTCTTAAATTTAACTTTATTTGTAAGATGTTTTCAAAATTGTTTTTTTTTCCTAATAATATTGAACCATTAAAAAACAAAAATAAAATTCAATTTTTTGTATTCTTAGAATACTGTTTAACGTGCGTCATTTTCAAGACATTGTTTAGTGTGCTGTGAAGAATGCTGTGATTGGTTAATTACTTTTTATCAGGGTTGGCCTGAATTAATTCAGTGACTTACAATAATTCGTAAATGAAATGAAATGACTTTTTTTAAGTCGTGAATTAATTTAAACTTTTATTTCTAATTTCATTGCATAGGTAAACGGCTAAAAAATGATGTTTGTTGTATAGAATTTTAATTCAAATAATTTAATAATAATAATATCAATAAAAACTTGGTTCTTGCAATTAAATAATACTATTCTCGAAAAATTTGAGCAAAATAAATTCAACAGAAACAATGAAAATGGCTTGCCAAAAAGTGCTATCTACAGGGTGGCCGATTTATCTGAAGACATTGAAATATTTCGAAAACTACGCATCGGATCAAAAAAAGTTTTGAACAAAATTTGTTCGCCTGGAAGGGGGACATCCAATGATACCAAAGTCGACCCCTTACCACTACCCCCTGGGGTGGGGGTGGGGGTAACTTTACAATTCTAAATAGGAACCCCCTTTTTTTATTGCAGATTCGGATTTCCCATTAAAAAATAAGTAACTTTTTTGGAAAACCTTTTTTTAAATTCCTGATAGATGGCGCTGTAATCGCAAGAAACCCGATTTTTGTGAATTTCTTAAAAAATTACACATCGGATCGAAAAAAGAAAAACTTGTTTAATTTTTAGATTTTATTCGTATATCAATAAGTTAACATCTATTTTTAACGTTACCCAAGAACAAGGACCAGGACGCAGTAGTTTTTTGATCCCATCGGGGTGCTAGTTTTAAGAGAGTCCCCCTGCCTCTCACTGTTTAATAAATTAGATTAAATGTTCGAAATTGTGACCTTGAACTTCTAGACACTTATTTATTCTTTCTTCGAATGATTGTACACAGGAGAGGAGCATATCTGCGGAAATTTCAGCACAAGCGTTTCTTATGCGCTGTATCATGTATTCCCGAGTTGTTGGTGCTTATTGAAAAACCTTATCTTTTAGATAACCCCACAGAAAAAAATCCTTCGATGTCAAATCAGGTGACCTAGCAGGCCAATTAACCGGGCCACCTCTGCCGATCCATCGGCCATTGAAATCACGGTTCAATTCTTCCCGTGCTGTTGCTGAGTAATGGGCTGGGCAACCGCCACATAATTTGTCGAATGAGCAGGGCAACATCCTCAAGTAGAGGTGGTAGTTTATGTTCCAGGAAATTTCGATATTTGATTCCATTTAAGGTTCCATCAATGAAATAAGGACCAATGAGTTTGTTACCTAAAATTCCACACCAAACGTTAACCGACCAGGGACGTTGATGTTCAACTTGTCGTAACCAGTGGGGATTGTCCACACTCCAATAGTGCATGTTATGCCGATTAACGGAACCATGATTTGTGAATGTGGACTCATCTGAAAATAGTACATTAGCGAAGAAATTGGGATTTCTTTGTATTTGCTGAACTGCCCATTCACAAAATTCTACTCGCCGATGAAAATCATTGCCATGAAGTTCCTGATGCAATGAAACCCGGTATGGGTGATACTTGTGACGATTCAATATTCTCCGAATACTATCTCTGGAAATCCCGAGATCCCGATGTATTTCCCGAATGCTTACATGAGGGTTATGTTGAACAGCTGCTATCACATTTTTTTTAAGTTGTACACTACCTTCGGATTTAAAGGATTGAACAACTTTATAAAAAAATGAGCGTGAACGAATATTATCTGGAAAACGTTCAGCATATAAGGCAACAGCATCGTCAATATTCCGTCTACATTCTCCGAAAATCAGAATCATTTCAATTTTTTCTTCTACGGTTGCAGCATTCATTTCTCACTCGTACGTTTCTAAATCAACTGTGAATGTTGCGTCTATAAAAACGGAACATAAGTAAGGTATAAATATGTTTTTATAACATACATATGTACATACCTGGACGCATTAGTAAGGTTTAAATATTTTTAATTTGTACCAAGATCAAAAGGAATTAATTAATTTAATTTATTTTGAATTCCCTAACAATTCTCGTATACACTAATTATATTTTTGAATGGGAAATCCGAATCTGCAATTTTTCAAGATATTCCCAAAAATGGGGTTTCTTGCGATTACAGCGCCATCTATCAGGAATTAAAAAAAAAGTTTTTTATAAAAGTTACTTATTTTTTAATGGGAAATCCTAATCTGCAATAAAAAATGGGGGTTCCTATTTAGAATTTCTTTAGAAATCTTTTTAGAATGTTGCAAGGAATTCGTAGTGAAAACATTTTTTTGTGAAGACTGGTAAAAAATTAATTAAAATAGTTAAAAAGTAAACCAATTAGGTATGACGAAATTATTCCCAAAAATGACCATTGTTGAAATAGATTTTTTATTTTTAAATATAAAGGTCAAATAAGTATAATAACTATTTTAATGAAATATACAATTTTTGATTTTGTATCTTGTAAGTTATATTAAATTGAAAAGTGTGAATTAATTTCACAATACTTTTTTTACCTTTTCAAAAGCGCTTATAAATAAATGCTCGAGCATTTACCAAAGTGCTTGATTAAATTTGGCGCCAAAACTAAAAACCGGGATTATAACATAACCAACATCTATATTCCAACACATGTGTTTAGTATTTTTGTTAATTTAATAAATTTTTGATGCACTAAGTATTTAATTATTATTTTATTTTTCCAAATTGGTTACTTAGCTGCTAATACACTCACAGGCAAAATAATCGATACACACAAATTTTCGATGAATTTCAATCGCGAATAACTTATTTATTTAATTTCGGATTTAAACAAATATTAAAGAATATTGTAGATACATTAATGGAGAATCGCTCACATTTTAAAAATTACTAAAAAATACACGTACGTTAATAATATACAGGTTTAAACAAAAAGATGTTTTTTACCATAAGTTTAAGACACTCTGTAGAGTGGCAAAACCGTGTATTGTTCTAAATTAAGTTTTAATTATCAAGTCACATCAATTTTTAACAGTTCTATTTTTGGTTCACCTTGATATATTTATTTTTGTGGAAAATATGGATTTTTTAAAAAAACATTGCAATTTCCAATATTTTTCCTGTATGAAGAACTAAGGTTGCTATGGTCCATCCATATGCTATGGAGAATGACAGTGACAGTTTTTTTTAATCATCCCATACTTGGACATGTCATATACAGCTTTCAAAAGCTATGAAATTGTTTTTTTGTAAATTAATGTGTTAATTTTGAGGTGTCTTCTTACTTTTAAAAATGTCTCCCACTGATGTTACCCTTTGTACTTTACTTCTTGTGACGTTTAAAACACTTGCCATGTAATACTGTGACTGTCCATCCTGGATTAAATTAATAGCTCTGGCAACATCATTCGGAGACATATCCATTTTTTAAAGTAAGAAGACACCTCAAAATTTTAACATTAATTTGCAAAAAACAATTTGATAGCTTTTGAAAGCTGTGTATGACATGTCCAAGTATGGGATGATTCAACAAAACTGTCACTGTCATTCTCCATAGCCTATGGATGGACCATAGCAACCTTAGTTCTTGATACAGAAAAATATTGGAAATTGCAATGTTTTTTTAAAAAATCTATATTTTTCACAAAAATAAATATATCGAGGTGAACCAAAAACAAAACTGTTAAGAATAGATGTGACTTGATAAATAAAACTTAATTTAGAACAATATACGGTTTTGCCACTCTACATAGTGTCTTAAACTTATGGTAAAAAACATCTTTTTGTTTAAACCTGTATATTATAAACGTACGTCTGTTTTTTAGTGATTTTTAAAATGTGAGCGATTGTCCATTAATTTATCTACAATATTCTTTAATATTCGTTTAAATCCAACATCAAATAAAAAAGTTATTTGCGATTGAAATTCATCGAAAATTTGTGTGGATCGATTATTTTGCCTGTGAGTGTATTATACAAAAATTATTAGTAAGGTTTTATAAGTAGCTTAGTGGATGTAGGAATTGTATTTAAAAGGTGCCTGCATTAGTAATACCTTAAAGTTTCTTATCACAAATTAAATTTTGTATAAGGGCAGTACTATGTTGAAATGTAGACTTGTTTCTAGAACCTGACGCGAAAAAAGGCCCAGGTTTACCGGGACCCCCGAATCAAGGACCTCCATCGATTGGGCGTCCTTCTCTATCGTTGACGCCGAGTGGCATGGGTGGGCCTGTTATGGGCGGAGGACCACAGATGAACGAAGATATTAAAGTGCCCGACAAGATGGTTGGATTAAGTGAGTAATTATAGCACAATTACATTAACCCTTCACCTTGGTTTGACTATTGTGGTACTTATTTGAGTTTGTCTTAAGCACTTTGATCTATTGGTTTTTATTTTCCTTTTCATTGTGGACCTTTTTCATTTGTTACTCAATCACCCATTTGATATCCTTTGAATTAATTTTCCCTTTTAGTTTTTCTTGGCTAAATACACTACTCAACAATGTTTATATTATTTTTTTTTAAAGTATTCCTGTTACCTTTAGTGAAATCATTTTTTCCTTGGAAATTGTTAAGCAGTGTATGTTTCTGGTTTTCTTTAAATTTTTATTCTCAGTAAGTGTTGTTGCAATAAATTTTACAATTATATTTTAAATATTTTTAAACAGTACAAGTACAATGAATGGGTATATCCAATCAAATAATAAATAAATCATCAAAATACAATAACATAAAATATAATTAATGAACAATAACAAAACATAAACTTTTAAAATAAAATTTAAATCTCAAGCTGGCTAAAGGACCAATTGTAAAACTGTTTTTCTTTTTTATTATTATTATCTCAAGCATTTTGATTTCCGGATAGAATGTCACTAATTATTTAATACCACTAACCATACTAACAAACCTTTCTTTAAGTTTGAAAAAAATTCTTAGAAAATTACTCCAATATTGACTTACTAATAAATACTTAAAAGAAATAATAAATACGCTTGGATCTTTTTATTTTGATAAAGTAGAACATTTGCAAAACATTTATAGGGAAGAATTAAACATATATTTTAAGTAACTTAAATTATGATAACATAAAAGAATTTTCTGGCATTTTTAATTAATACAATGCTTGGGTTGGAAATATAGTTTTGTGAGCATTTGGGACTGCATTTTTCCAAGATTGTAGGCTTTAAAGTATTTGTATATTTTTAAGAGTTTTCATGGCATATTTTTTTATTTTTGATTTTTATCAATAATCTAGTAATTGCCACTTCTATACAGGGTTTCCCAACAATGGCGCACAAATTAAAAAAAAATTAATAGAAGTTTCTTTTTGCAACAATTTAATTGTATAAGCTAAATAATATTATGATATGGTTAAATAATATTATGATATGATTAAAAACTTGATTATTGAAAATGGTGCTGTTTTGAAAAACGTGCTTAAAAAAAGGCGTTTAAAATTTATGGATTAAGACATACGTTTGAAAACAATGAACAAAGTAAGCCATTTTTACACTAGTTCAATAATGAAAATATTGTTTTACTATTGCAATCATGAAACAGAAGATAATTAAGGGCCTTGAAATAAAAGGGCTATAAGTGCATCTACCCTGATTAAGGTTTAAAAGTGTCGAAAAAAAACCGGAAAAATTGGGTAAAAAACTTTTTTTTTCGTTTTTCCCAGGGGTAAATTATTTTTTTTTTGGAAAATATACACATTTTAAAAAAGTAGCAAACAGCATCTTAACATTATTTTAATTTAAAAAATTCTTTATTACAGAAAAAAACTAAATTGAATTAAATTGATTGAAGAAAATAAAAGTAAACGATAAATATAATTTTTTTGCAAATAGAAGTCCTTTTAAAATATCCAATTACAAAATAATGAATTAAATTTAAATTACAAAATTATAATTTTATAAATCGAAGTGTCAAATAGAACAGAATCTTACTGAATTAAAATAAAAGAAATAATTATTATACTCATCATAATATTATATGATTATAATCAGCGTCGGAAATTCACTTTTTTCATTTTTGCATTACCTAAATTAAATAAAAAAGATGCAAAGTGAATTTTTCTAAAAACCCAATTTTTCCAAAAAAAAAAACGTTTTTTTCCGCCGACTCAATTTTTCCGGAAATTTTAAAAACCTAACCCTGATAATAGGGTTTTAAAGTATCGAAAAAAAAATCCGGAAAAATTGGGGAAAAAACATTTGTTTCCGTTTTTTCCCAGGCCTTGCAAAAATCGATTATTTTTTTTTGGGAAAATATCCACATTTAAAAAAAGTGGCTATCACCAACTTAACATTATTTTAATTTAAACGAAATATCCTTACAGAAAAAAAAATAAAACTGAACATTAAATTAAATTAATTTAAGAAAATAAACGTAAACGTTAAAATACTGTCGGTCGGATATTTATGCAAAAAGGACTCCATTGAAAATATCCAATTACAAAATAATGAATTATTTATAAAGTTGAATTACAAAATATTGTTTTAATAGATTTGTAACAATAAAAATGATATTTTGTTATATTTTATTTAATTAATTAATTTTATAAAATTCAGTTTAAAAATGTTTTATACTTCGCGTGGTATAGAATTAGTGCGCCATTTTCTTAACTAGTATTGCGCATGTCCCTGACGTCCAGTTGACAGTCAAATCATGGAGCCCACAAAAGTAGTACGAACTCCATAATAATAGGGCGCTAAAACAGTAACTGTTCTGTACCGAACCCAAGCAGCATTTTAAGTTTAAATACCTACAAATTTACTACTAAGTCAACTTTAAAGTATTTTTTACGGTTAACCAAAAATCGTTTTATAACGGTATACTTACGAAAAATTACCAAATTTGGGGAATGGTTTATTTCGTTATTTTACCTACATAATAACCATTTTGGTCTACTAAGAGAATAACGTAATAAAAACAATATAAATACCACTAATTTACGTAAAAATAACGCTATAATTACCAACAGTTTGCTCTCTCTTTCTAAATCATTGACATTCGTCATTTTTTTGTTCTTTTAATTTATATTTTACAAAATGGTACTTACAAAGTAATAAAGGCCACCCTAGAGTAAAATTAAATAATATAACTTAAATTGTCAAAACTAATAATATTTTGCATTAAAACTCAAACGCACATTATTTTATTGATAAAGATAGGCATGATACATCTTAAAAATTATATGCCCTCTAAATATTTTACGGTTTTAAGAAAAATTATTGCTTGGGTAAAAATTTAACAAAACTTAAATCCTACAAAATTTTATAAGATCTTTTAAAAATCATTTAGTTTTAATCATTTTTTAATTACTAAAACTTTCCCTATTATATTTTAGAAAAATATTTATGTTAAAGTATTATATAAATGTATAAAGTAATGGATGTCATCTTAAAAAACTCATTATGGCGACCTGAAAAAAATCTTCCCTTAAAGTTTTGTTTTTCACTTTAAGCTTATTTTTCCTTGTTTAGTCAATATTAATAGTTTTTATTACCACTAATAACCCTAAAAAATACCAGGCGAATAGGAATTATTTAAAGTTATAAAGTGGTCTTAATATCGTAAAATTATTACTTAAGAGTAACACCTACCATTAAGTAAAAATTCTGACGTTAAAATTACCGTTAAATTTTCCTTTAGGTGAAATACACTTATAAGTAATTTTCTTTTGTAAAAATTACGTCCCTCATAATACTTTAAAGTGTTGAATCTTAAGGGTTATTAAAAAAGGTAAAAATAACATAAATTAAACTTATTAAATAATTTTAAAAAAAGTTTTACTTTAAAGTAAATTTTTAAGGTTAATTTACTTAAATTAAGTAATATTGCCTCAAAGCTCTACGCTTTTACTTAAAATGCTGCTTGGGTAAACAGTGGAGGGGTATAAGCGAACACAAAATGTAAATCAGCGCCGCCAGTGGTGAAAAAAGAAAACGTAATGTGTGCGATATGGTGGGCAGATTCTTTAAATTTTCCGTTTTGTGTTCGTAGTCCTTGTGTAGGCTCCATGGTAAAAATGCTCGGCAGGAACAAAACATTTTGAATCCATGATTTTGGTAGTTGGCATTGTTTGATAAAAAACGCCATACAAGTTTGCAATAACACGTACTATACCTTTTCAACTTCAAATTGGAACTAATCAATTTCAATTTGGAATGTAACAATTTCAAATTGGGATTAATAAACTTTTAATTGGTAACTAACACCTTCAAAATGGGAATAAACGAAGTCAAATTGGAAACAAACAAATTAAATTTGGTACTAATCAACTTCAAATTGGAAATTTCACTGAAATTGTCATACGTTTTGCAAATCGAACGGCAGTCACGTTTAAACTTTATAATAAATTAATTAAAATGCCTTAAGCCCAGGGCTAGATGCTACCGTGTACGAGTTTTGGTTCGTGCCGCGCATGACGTCATTTGATGAGTATTTGCCGTACGAATATACGAATAATAGTAATATTATCAAAGAAAATAGAGAAATATATGGACATAGTGCGTTTTTATTAAACCCAATATTGAAGAAAGTGTTATAATATGGATAATAGATGCTTTCAGTCCTTGATAACATTTAGGGCTGTAGTTTAAACGTTGGTGTTTTAAATTAAACTTATAGTCACTGTCCAGAAAATGTTTATAGGAAACAGATTTCCCGGTCGTAACGTTAATATTGTCTATTCTTTTTGTGGCATTTAACCACTGTTTGCACAAATCAAAGTTTTTCGGGAATCGATGAAATTTAATGTTTTTATTTAAAGGGTTTTTCTTGGACTGGTTGTCCGAATTGCATCCAAATATGCCACACGGCATTTTAATAAATGCTAATGGCACAACACAAACAAAACAAGTTAACGCAACACCAAAACAATAATAAACAAACAGAACAGGTTAACACAACGCAATAACAATAATTGGAACACTGAAAAGTAATTCGAACCTTACCGAAAGCAAAAACAACAAGTTAAACAAAAATAGAGCAAGTTAACATCCAACAGCATCGCAAAAACAGGAATTTTAGCAGCAAATAATTAAAACGCACGTTAAAGGTTTAAAAACACACAAGTGACGTATTTAAGCCCCACCCAACATGCGCACCATCCTATCTTAAGGTGTATGTATCTTGCCTTAAGCCGGTCACAGACCTGACGAACGTTTTCATTCATTACAATTTAAAATTTCAGTAAAAATTCCAATTTGAAGTTGATTAGTACCAAATTGACTTTGTTTATTTCCATTTTGAACGTGTAAGTTACCAAATAAAAGTTGATTAATCCCAATTTGAAATTGTTACATTCCAAATTGAAATTGATTAGTTCCAATTTGAAGTTGAAAAGGTATAGATCAATTTCTCAGTAAAGAGAGAGAGAGAGCTAGAATCGAGGTAAACGAAAGCACTGATTTTGTATTTGCAGTAATTGGCCGGGGAGGCGAGCAAATCACCCGTCTCCAGTCCGAGTCGGGTTGTAAGATACAGATGGCGCCCGATTCGCAGGGCATGCCAGACCGCATATGCTCTCTGTCGGGTTCAAAAGAGGCCGTCACGCTGGCCAAGGAGCTCATCATGAATATCGTTCACCAGAGGGGCCGGTCCGAGGGCCTGCCCGACCTGGACATGAACGGCCCCCCTATGGCCGGGGGAGCCAATCATAATAATTTCCAAGGTTTTTATGAACAACAAAATAATTACTCTCTGTCCTTTTACTACTACTACTACTGACTGACCAACTAAAAAAGCCTTTTCATATATAGATGATTGCATGAGGTTTGTTCTCTCCACCCCCCCGGTTATTTGCTCTTTGTCTATTTTTGGTTTTATTTATTTTTTTAATTTTTAACCCCATCTAACTCCACCCGATCCCCCCTAATAACTAACTTGGTGTGATTGCATGTATTGGTAGAATTAGTGCTGTGTTTTGATTTTGGCGGTAAATTACGGCGAAATTGCTTCAGGCTTTCAAAGGTACTTAATGCTTGTAAATAATAATAATTATACATTTTCTTAGGTCTCATAGCTGGGTAGTATCACTTATTTAACAGGAATTATCGCACAATATCCTTTAAATTCCATCACTTAACAACACTTCCCGTAAATTAACATTCATTTGTTTTGGTATTGGTGCTCAGTCATTTAGATATTTTCGTTTACTTTGCAATAAAAGATAACGATTATTCCGATTGCGTTAAACGTCGTGCCGGTGCCTGACGTTCGATTTCGTCTTTCAGGAATGAACAACATGGGGGGCAACCAGGGCGGCATGGGCGGCGGTATGGGCGGCGGCCCGGGCCTCGGCGGAGGCGGCGGCGGCGGCAGAAATAACAGCATGGAAATCATGATTCCCGGACCGAAAGTCGGTCTGATCATTGGAAAAGGCGGCGAGACCATTAAGCAGCTTCAGGAAAAAAGCGGCGCTAAAATGGTTGTCATACAAGACGGACCCAACCAGGAGAACGAAAAACCGTTGAGAATCAGCGGAGACCCACAAAAAGTAAGTCGATATTTTGTGTTTTTTTTAATTCGTAATTCTAAATTAATGCACACCTTTCATTAACATTCAATCTGAAGAATTTTACTCAATTTAATTAATTTTGGGAAAATTTGAGTAAAATAAACTCGACAAGAATAATGGAAATGGCGCGATCTGATTGGCTTACCGAAAAATTCTAAATTTCGGTTTGACAACAAAAAATCTTAATACTATTATTAATAATACCACGTATTAAGTAGAGATGTAACGTGTAAAAAAACGCTTTTTTGTTTTTGTTTTTCAGTTTTATTTCAATTTTTCTTCAAATATATTATTTTTTTCAAACATTCTTCCAATCAAGCATATTTTTGATCTTTTGGCTTTTTTTCACAAAGAAAACATATTTAATTGAGCAGTAAAATATAATTGACAATTTTATCAAAAACTTGTAAACAGTTGACTAGAAAAAAAGTAAATATTTTTTTTGTATAAAATTTAGTTTTCCACAAAAAGGTCATATAAGCCGAATTTCTAAAATTAAAACTTTGGCAAAATGTCAAGATTAATGGTTTTGTAATTAAATAATATTTATATTAATCATTTTTTTTCACTCATTTTATTTGTTAGGTACCAAAAACAACAAAATTTAAAAAAAATTGAAATATTAAATCAAATTACAATACATATCTCTTAAAATTTTAATTTTAGACTTTTTTTAAAGAAGAATAAATTTCTAACAAAAAATGTGTTTACTTGTTTCTCTAAAGTCAACCATCTACAAGTTAACAGCAAAAAACCATTAATTTTATGGGAAATCAAACTTTGAACCAATAAAATACTGGTTTTATTATCAAACGAAAAAAGCAAGATTTTTTAATGGAAAAACTTAACAACACATATGTAAATAATAATTCAGTCCAATTTTAAACTCTTGTGCAACATGATTAATTATTGACATAATATACTATATTGTGAATTGAAGGGGCAAATGGATAAAGGAGTTAAGTGACAATTATAATAATAAAGGACACACAATATTCTAATTATTCCAATTGCAATATTTTTTGTTTGAAGGTGTCATGTTACATTCATGTTGAAAATATTGTGATTGTAAATAAAAATAAATTTGGTATTGCAATTAAAATATTTTGTTTCCTTTATTATAGATAATGTAACTTGTCACCAAATAAGTTGTTATCCTTTAAGGGGATGAAAAAATCATTAAAATTAAAGTAGAAATTTTCGGCCGTCACTGGTTGTTCATGACTGACGCAAAGTATGCTTGTACAGTGGGCAATACACGAAATATTGTACAAAATTTTTTCTTTGAAGGATCATGTTACATTCAGGTTGAAAAAGCTTTCCAATTATTTTAGCTGTTTCCAAATTCCATATGAAAAAAAAAAGTTTTTTACATCTCTACTTTCAAGCACTAAACAGTATGGAACGCCGTTTTACTATTTAATTACATAGCGCAAATTGTTATGTTAAATAGTAAAAACAGCGCGCGCCAATTTTATATTTAGTTAAGTTTAACAGTTATTAAATGTTTTATTATTTATTAACTTGCAATTGGGCTATATGGAAAAAAGTAAAGCTTCTATGGAGAAAAGTTATATATTATACAAAGTTTTGGCAATTATCATATATTGCAAAAACCCAAGGAGTTGTATTTAAATTAAAAGACGTCACTAATAGTTTTGGAGACCTGCAGATATTGTATAAATACTTATTGCAACACTTGAATGTTGAAAAAACTTAAACTTTACTTAAAATACAAGTATTGCATTCGACTTTTGGCAAAATACGAATGTTGTAAAAAGTATGGCTAACCTGTCTAGGAGAAACAAAAAACACTAGATTTAAAGATTTTAAGGTGTTGTCTCTGCCAACCGGTGGCGGGAATAGGTGTTGTTCTATGGTTGGTTACTAACCTATAATACCTGAAGGAGTTTAAAATCATTAAAAAATACCAGAGACAAAACCTTAAAATCCTTAAACCTAGTGTAGGTCTGCCATACTTTTTACAACATTCGTATATTGCCAAAAGTCGAATGCAATACTAAGTTTAAGTTTTTTCAACATTCAAGTTTTGCAATAAGTATTTATACAATATCTGCAAAACTATGTATAGTATTTAACTTTTCTTTATAAAAGCTTTACTTTTTTCCATATAGCACAATTGCACAGGCTTAAAAGAATCTTGTTTTGCAACTTAATGCATAAATTGCCATCGACAAATTATAAAATGGCATTAATGTTTATTCAATGGAACAATATCGAGACAAAACTTTCGTCAACAGGTAGAGTACGCCAAGCAGTTGGTCTACGACCTGCTAGCCGAGAAAGAGATGCAAAACTTCAACAGAGGCGGCGGCGGCGGTGGCCGCGGCGGAGGCGGCGGCGGTAGAAACGACCGCGGCGGCGGCGGGGGCGGCGACTACAACGACTACGGCAGCAACGGGGGCAACGAGTGCGAAGTTCTGGTGCCCAGGCAGGCCGTGGGAGTGGTAATCGGCAAAGGCGGCGACATGATCAAGAAGATCCAGGCGGAGACCGGCGCCCGCGTGCAGTTCCACCAGGCCAGGGAGGAGGGGCCCGGCGAGAGACGGTGCTCCTTGAGCGGCAACCCCAAGCAAGTCGAGCAGGTGCGTCAACAACATTTTTTATTTTTTTTTATTTACAGTTTTTTTTGATCGAAAAAATCAGATTTTTTTAAAATTAAATCGGATTTTTTTACTAAAACAAGAAAGCCTGCAAGTCTCAAGTTTTGTTGATTTTTAGTAGACTTTCTTGTATTAATACAAATTCTATGTTGTCCTAATTTTTATTAGGTAATTTTTTACCTCGAATAATATTTTTGCCAGACAATAGGTTTCCTTCTACCTGCATTTTAATATTTTGTAAAAATTCGGAATGATAATGCTAAAACACAATTAATTAAAATGCCAAAATCACAATTTTAATTATCATTTTGTCAAATATTTATCAAAAAACAATTTAGAATGCCAAAACCACAATTTAAATTATCATTATGTCAACGTTTATTAAAAACACAATTTAAAAACTCATTTTAGAATATAGAAAATAAAATTCAGAATTATAATGCCAAAGACACAATTAAAATGATAAAATCACAATTTAAATTATCATTTTGTCAATTATTTATAGAAGAACAATTTAAAAATATTTTTACATGTATGTTTTTTTAAAGTGTCGAAAGAAAAACGGAAAAATTGGGGAAAAAACTGTTTTTTCCGTTTTCCCCAGGTTTGTCTTTTTTGAGAATAATTAAAAAAAATATCCCTTATTACAGAAAAAAATTGAACCAAATATTAAATTAAATTAAATTTATTAAAGAAAATAAACGTAATCGTTAAATATACTGTCGGTTGGGTCTAAATAACGAATGATTTATAAAGTTAAATTACAAAATTATAATTTTAGAATATTAGAATATTCTTACTGAATTAAAATAAAAGGAATAATTATAATCATAATATTATGATTATAATCAGCGTCGAAAATTCACTTTTTTTTCAGTGAACGGAAATCTTCCGTGAAAATTTTCAGAAAATATGATTTTGCATTTTGTTCGTATTACCCTTTGAATAAAATGCAAAAGTAAATTTTCTGAAAATTCACAATTTTTCGGTTTTTTTCCAGAAACAAAGTTTTTTCGTTCGGCTCAATTTTTACGGAAATTTTAAAACCCTAGTTAATATTAAATAACATTAAAAATTAATGAATTCTTTTCTTGAATAAAAATTATATAATTTACTTTTTCCAATAACATTGTCAAAAATTCTGCTTTTTTGTTGACATTTAACTTTAATGTGTAGTGTCAAAAGTAGGTCATTTTTGAAATTTCAAAAAAAAATATTTGGAATGGTAATTAAATCAATACAAAATAATACCTATATTAAATAATTTGTAATCAAGAAAACAGTTAATTTAATTTTTATTTTTAATAAATAATTAATAATTTTAAGTTAAGTTAAGTTTAAGTTTCATAAATTAGTATTTAAATTCGTTTAAATTTTTTTCTTCATATTCAAAGTAATTTAAAAACTGTGGAATACTTGATTGCGAAATTGTTTTGCATTCTCAAATTTGGAAATTTAACATTAAAAATAACTATTTGCTTTGTTGAGCCTTTTCCAGAAACCTAAACTATCTACGAATTAGTTTAACGTTTTTTTAAACTTTATGCTTATTACAGTACGTAATTTTTTATTTAAATCGTGAATAAAAAAATTATTCGATTTAAATTGCGGTCAAAGAAATTGTTTGGATACTGTAAAATGTCTTATGTAAAAAAAATCATTAACTTTTCATCTGTGTACTTTTTTAAAAACCTAGAAGCATGAATATTTTTTGTACTAGATTTTTCTTTATTTCTTTATGCTTTTTGGTTTATAAAAGTACATCTTTCTGAACAGTTTATGATTTTTGCCATACATTTGCGCACTTTTGGACATCGTTCGTCGTAATTTCAGGCCCGCCAAAGGATCGAAGAGCTCATCGACAGCGTGCATCAGCGCGACAACGAGGGCGGCGGCGGCGGCGGTCGCGGTCACGGCGGGGGACGCGGCGGCCGCGGTGGCGGTCGCGGAGGCGGCCGAGGCGGTGGCGGCGGCGGTGGATACGACGGCGACCGCGGCAACCGAAACGGCGGCGGGGGCGATTACGGAGGCGGCGGCGGCGGCGGCGGCTGGGAGGACAGGCGGTCCCACGGGAACCAGGGCGGCCAGGAGGTCACGTTCACCGTGCCCAGCTCCAAGTGCGGGGTCATCATCGGCAGAGGTGAGTAGGGATGGGACAGTTGAAATTTTCAAATGAAAATTTCAACTTTGAAAGTTTCAAACTGGAAATATTTCATTTAGTTGGAAAAGTGAAATTTTTGAAAATTTCATTTGAAAATTTCAATCCGAAAATTTCAACATTGCCTGTGAAAGTTTCAGAAATTTCATTGAAAGTTTCGCAATTTACTGAAAATTTCGCATAAATTTCACATGCGGCCTCCCCTGGGACCTTTAATAATAATTTACAACAGATTCCGAATCGACCAATAAGAACGAGTTATCAAGCGTCTGGGCGTTTTTGTTTAGTTCGGCTTGGATTTGAATACACTATAAGTAATTATTGTTACTTATATGCATAAATTAATTTAAATAATTTAATTCAGTTACCAATTTAATTTGTAAATTAAATCAGACTTTAAATTTTTTTTAAAAGTCATGATTAATTTAAACTTTTACTTTTGCTATAATGGGGTAGTTAAATTTTTTCTGACCTATACTTTTTATGGTTTTATTCAAGGCGTTTTGTAATTTTAAAAGTTTCTGTGAAATAGGAATTTCAATTGAGTTTACCGTTTTCGAGATATTTACAAAACAAAACCTCCTAATTACGTCACTAGGCTATTGACAACGTTGCCAGCTTTTTCTTCTTCTTCTTCTTCTTCTTCTCTGGTTTGATTGGCCTTTCCCTTCCGGGATTTAGCCAGCTGTATTTTATTATTATTATACTGGAAAAAGCGAGTCTAGGATAACCTGTAGCTTCTCCTTTTCTTCTTGTTTTTATAGTTTATTAATTATTATTATTTATGTCACTTTTAGATTATTTTTTTCACTTATAGTCTTTTTATTCACTTATGTCCATCACTATCATTTTTGTCTTTTTTAGAGTTTATTCAATAAAGCTTATATCAGCAGCGGAAGTCACATTTATTACACTTTTACACATATAAAATCACGATATTAGCAGCGGAAGTTACGAGGCAAAAAAAATTAAAAAAAAAACCGACTAAGCACCACATGGCTGTTTGCAGAAATATATTCAGTCCTTCAATATAACGATCATCCTTTGTGGAAATCCCTTGCATCTTTACCAATCTATTGTAGATTTTGTGGATTCAACAATTATCAACTTATTTATGGCATTAATAAATTTTATGCGATGAGTTTCATATTATCCACTCAAGGATAGCCCATCCATCTACTTCAGCAGATAACACAAAACTGGCCAGCTTTTTCTATAGTTGCCAGTGTGTTTAGTTTAAGATTCTTACGATAGATGGGGCCACGTTATTATATTTAAGTTGAGAAGAAGAAGAAGAATTGATTTTTTGACGTTTCTTTTTTTCGGGTTATGTTTTTTTTAAATTTAGATTATTGAAAATCAATGTTATTGTTATGTTATTTGTAATTGATATTAGATAAGTGATTTATTAATAACGGACTCCAAAGCAGAGGAATCTTGTGGAATGGTTGGTTACATTGAACATTGTAGCTTTTAAACAAATAAAGTAAGTACAGTGGCGGTCAAAAAATTTCGGGCAGAAATTTTCCTGTCATTTCAAAAAGTAGATGTAGCTTAAGCTTTATTCTCAGTATCATTTGACGTTTTGAAATTGCCTCCAGTAAATTACTTTCATAAAGTTTTAATAATAACCCATATCCAAAATGGAATGACGCAAAGGCAAGTTTCTGGATTGTTGGGGATACCGAAAAGTACAATTAATTCGATTGTAAAAAAATTTGAAGAAGATGGAATGGTCGAGCGGCGACGTGGCTCTGGACCACATCGAGGCTCCACACTTGACGAAGACGAAGCATTGATTGATGTAGAAAATGCTCCCTTTACCACCGCTATTCAGGCGGTAAACAGAACAAATTTTCCAATTTCTGTTCGGACAGCACGTCGGCGCATTAGAACAGCTGGACTAATAAATTGTGCGGCCACGACTAACACCTCGCCATCGAGAAACGAGAATGGGATTCGCTTTAGAACACATTATTAAAGATGATGCCTTTTGGAACAGAGTTGTTTTCTCCGATGAAAAAGTTTTTCAGTCGTCTCCAAATGGTCGGCTAAAAGTCTACAGACCAAGAAATACCCGTTACGAAGAGAGATAGGTATGTTCAAGAAACAAAACAGAGCGGACGTTTTTCTGTGAACATGTGGGCATGGGTCTCAGCCGTTGATCCTGGCATAATGCTATATGTGCAAGATCGGTTTAACAGCAACGTCTATATTAGGGTCCTCGAAGACGTAATGCTCCCTTCGGTAACACGAGTGTTCCCCAACGGTGATTTTGTGTTTCAGCAGGACAATTGCTCTGTTCATACTGCACACAGGGTAGCGGCGTGGTTCGAGAACCATAATATAGACGTTATTGACTGACCAAGTCAAAGCCCCGATCTTAACCCGATCGAGAACATGTCTTTTAACACGAAATTTACAACGTCGGAATTTAGTATTTAACAATACAGAGGAGTTATTGACCGCCATCACCTATGCATGGCATGAATTGCCCCAGAACTATAACAGGAATGTATGTCTCTCCATGAACACTCGATTGACGAAAGTTATACAAGCTAATGGAGCAATGACAAAATATTAATTTTAATTTGCTAATTTAGTCCAGTTAAAGGCAGACATCAAGAAGACGCGTATTATCCAACGTCATTTTAACCTACGATTCGTGATAAAAAAGAGTTAAACAAACTGTTATACCTATTTGTTAAGCAAAGAATTTCAAAAGCAGTACAGTGGACTTTTCTAACCATTTGTAATACTAGTAATATACCATTTATTTTATGTGAAGTTTTTCTTAAGGCAGGGTAAAATCATAGGATTAAAAAAAACCTCCAAAACAATACTGATTTATAGGCAAGAAGTGACACAATTAAAAATTAAGGTTACCAGGGTATAAAGGTTGTTTCACCTCATGTGTCAGTGAATGTCAAATGGTGCCCGAAATTTTTTGTCCGCAACTGTACCTATAATTATAATCATATTTTGTCGTAAATGCATTTCATTAGTATAATGCCTAGTTCTTTATATTCTTTTAGATATATCTTGGACTTTATTTTGCCACTTTTGTCTATGAAATATATTAAACTCTGCTTTAGACAGTTATTAGGTACCTATTTATTACATTTTATTAGGTTTCACACGGTGTTTCAATGTGTAAACCTATCAATAAAACTTTGAATTTCAGAATTTTCTTTAACCTCCTCTTCTTCTTCTTTCACTCAACTGACAGTGACAGTATTTGTACATAACCTCTTCGGGTATTTTCTGACATAACCGAATGAAATTATTAACAAGACAACTTGACAACAGGGTAATTTTCAACCAATAGAAATCTTAGAATGTTGGTCACATGGCGGGGTTTGTGACGTCATAAAAATTTATATTTTTTGTAAATATCTCGAAAACGGTAAACTCAATTGAAATTCTGATTTCACAGAAATGTTTAATATTACAAAACGCCTTGAATAAAACCATAAAAAGTATAGGTCAGAAAAAATTTAACTACCCCATTGCATCGGAAAACGGATAAAAAATGCCTTTGGCTCATAAAATTTTGATGAAGTTTCTTCAATTTTCGTAAAATTTCAGTAAAATATTTAAAAATAATAAATATAAAACAATGAAAGTGGCACAATCTCATTAGCTTACCAAATAGTGCTATATCTCTTTTAGTTTTAGTAATTTTAAAAATATTTTAAAAGGAAATCTCAAGAAATTTGTGGTAAACGTAGGTATTTACTATTTATATTATTGGTGCAGGGGCCACAGAGGGGTAGGAGGTAAGATAGGCAATTTGCCATGGTCCCCGAGTGGGCTTATTTCAATATTAATATATTACACTTAAAGTGATTGAAATTTATTGAAAGTTTCAATAAATTTCATGAAATTTAGGAAATTTTAATAAATTTTATAAATGTCATGAAAATTTCAAGTGAAATTTCAAGTACAAGCAAAAAGTGAAATTTTCCCAACCCCAGAGGTGAGAGAGGTTTTGGGATGGTCGAAGGAGGCATTTTTTTGACGGTCGGTTTGCTTTCGTTTAGGCGGCGAGACGATAAAGCAGATAAACCAGCAGTCCGGGGCGTATTGCGAGCTGGACAGGCGGTCGCAAAACGGGCCCAACTCGAACGAGAAGACGTTCACGATCAAGGGCGATCCGGATCAGATCGAGTCCGCCAAGAGGATAATCAGCGACAAGGTGCAATTGCCTTTGAGCTTCGTTCCCACCGGCGGTCCCAACATGTCCAGCATGCCAACGGTAAGTAACTTTTAAAACGTCGAAAACACATTTCGGAATGGTAATGCCATTTAAATTATCATTTGGTCAATATTTATCAAAAACACAATTAAAATGCCAAAATCACAACTTTAATTATCATTTTGTCAAACATTTATCAAAAAACAATTTAGAATGCCAAAACCACAATTTAAATTATCATTATGGCAACCTTTATCAAAAACACAATTTAAAATGTTTAAAAACTCATTTTAGAATGCTAAAACACCATTAAAATGCTAAAACACCATTAAAATGCCAAAATCACAATTTAAATTATCATTATTTCAACAATTTAAAATGTTTAAAAACTTATTTTAGAACATAAAAACACATTTTGGAAAGATGATACCAAAAACACAATTAGAATGCCAAAATCACAACTTTAATTATCATTTTGTCAAACATTTATCAAAAAACAATTTAGAATGCCAAAACCACAATTTAAATTATCATTATGGCAACCTTTATCAAAAACACAATTTAAAATGTTTAAAACCCCATTTTAGAATGCTAAAACACAATTAAAATCCCAAAATCACAATTTAAATTATCATTATTTCAGCATTTATCAAAAACACAATTTAAAATGTTTTAAAACTTATTTTAGAACATAAAAACACATTTTGGAATGATAATACCAAAAACACAATTAGAATGCCAAAATCACAACTTTAATTATCATTTTGTCAAACATTTATCAAAAAACAATTTAGAATGCCAAAACCACAATTTAAATTATCATTATGGCAACCTTTATCAAAAACACAATTTAAAATGTTTAAAAACTCATTTTAGAATGCTAAAACACCATTAAAATGCTAAAACACCATTAAAATGCCAAAATCACAATTTAAATTATCATTATTTCAACAATTTAAAATGTTTAAAAACTTATTTTAGAACATAAAAACACATTTTGGAAAGATGATACCAAAAACACAATTAGAATGCCAAAATCACAACTTTAATTATCATTTTGTCAAACATTTATCAAAAAACAATTTAGAATGCCAAAACCACAATTTAAATTATCATTATGGCAACCTTTATCAAAAACACAATTTAAAATGTTTAAAACCCCATTTTAGAATGCTAAAACACAATTAAAATTCCAAAATCACAATTTAAATTATCATTATTTCAACATTTATCAAAAACTCAATTTAAAATGTTTAAAAACTTATTTTAGAACATAAAAACACATTTTGGAAAGATGATACCAAAAACACAATTAGAATGCCAAAATCACAACTTTAATTATCATTTTGTCAAACATTTATCAAAAAACAATTTAGAATGCCAAAACCACAATTTAAATTATCATTATGACAACCTTTATCAAAAACACAATTTAAAATGTTTAAAACCCCATTTTAGAATGCTAAAACACAATTAAAATGCCAAAATCACAATTTAAATTATCATTATTTCAGCATTTATCAAAAACACAATTTAAAATGTTTTAAAACTTATTTTAGAACATAAAAACACATTTTGGAATGATAATACCAAAAACACAATTAGAATGCCAAAATCACAACTTTAATTATCATTTTGTCAAACATTTATCAAAAAACAATTTAGAATGCCAAAACCACAATTTAAATTATCATTATGGCAACCTTTATCAAAAACACAATTTAAAATGTTTAAAAACTCATTTTAGAATGCTAAAACACCATTAAAATGCCAAAATCACAATTTAAATTATCGTTATTTCAACATTTATCAAAAACACAATTTAAAATGTTTAAAAACTTATTTTAGAACATAAAACACATTTTGGAATGATAATGCCAAAAACACAATTAAAATGCCAACATCACAATTTAAATTATCATCATGTTAACATTTATCAAAAACACTATTTAAAATGTTTAAAAACTTACTTTAGAATATATAAAACACATTTTGGAATGAAAATGACAAAAACACAATTAAAATGCCAAAATTACAATTTAAATTATCATTTCGTCAATTATTTATAAAAAAAAAACATTTTAAAATGCCAAAATCACAATTTAAATTATCATTTTGTTAAATATTTATCAAAAACACAATTTAAAATGTTTAAAAACTCATTTTAGATTATAGAAACACAATTCAGAATGATAATTCCAAAAACACCACTAAAATAAAAAAATCACAATTTAAATTATAATTTTGTCAATTATTTATAAAAAACAATTTAAAATGCCAAAATCACAATTTAAATTATCATTATGTCAATATTTACCAAAAACACAATTTAAAATGTTTAAAAATTTATTTTAGAATATATAAAATACATTTTGGAATGATAATGCCAAAAACACAATTAAAATGCCAAAATCACAATTTAAATTGTCATTTTTCAAAAACAGAATTTAAAATGTTTAAAAACCTATTTTAGAATATAAAAAACACAATTCGGAATGATAATACTAAAAACACAATTAAAATATCTAAATCACAATAATTTTTTCAAACATTTATCAAAAAACAATTTAGAATGCCATAATCATAATTTAAATTATCATTATGTCAATATTTATCAAAAACACAATTTAAAATGTTTTAGAAACTATTTTAGAATATCAAAAACACATTTTGGAATGATAATGCAAAAACACAATTAAAATGACAAAATTACAATTTAAATTATCAAAATTTATTTATTTAAAATATTTATCAAAAACACAATTAAAATGCCAAAATCAGAATTTAAAAGTATAATTTTTTCAAACATTTATCAAAAAACAATTAAGAATGCCAAAATCATAATTTAAATTATCATTATGTCAACGTTTATCAGAAACAAAATTTAAAATCTTAAAAAACTTATTTTAGAATATCAAATAACAGAATTTGGAATGATAATGCCAAAAATAATTAAAATGACAAAATCACAATTTAAATTATCATTATGTCAAACATTTATCGAAAAACACAATTTAGAACGGTAAAAACACAATTTAAATTAAATAAAAGTACCCAAATAACAATTTAAATTATCATTACATATGTCAAACATTTATCAAAAACACAATTTAAATTATCATGTCAAACATTGTCAAAAGCACAATTTAAAACCTCAAAAACACAATTTAAATCATTATTTTGTCAAACATAATAAAAACACAATTTAGAACGTCAAAAACAAAATTTAAATGAAATTAAAAAGCCAAAATCAGAATTTAAATTATCATTATGCCAAACACATTAAAAACCCAATTTAGAACATCAAAAACACAATGTAAATGAAATTAAAATGCAAAAATCACAATTTAAATTATCAGTATGTCAAACATATTAAAAAACAAAATTAAGAACGTCAAAAACACAATTTAAATTAAATAAAAGTACCCAAATCACAGTTTAAATTATCATTATGTCAAGCATTTATCAAAAACACAATTTAAAACGTCAAAAACATAATTTAAATCATCATTATGTGAAACATATTAAAAACGTAAATTAAATTAAAATGCAAAAATCACAATTTAAATCATCATTATGTCAAACATATTAAAAACGTAAATTAAATTAAAATGCAAAAATCACAATTTAAATTATCATTATGTCAAACATATTAAAAACGTAAATTAAATTAAAATGCAAAAATCACAATTTAAATTATCATTATGTCAAACATATTAAAACACAATTAAAAACGTCAAAAACACAATTTAAATTAAATAAAAGTACCCAAATCACAGTTTAAATTATCATTATGTCAAGCATTTATCAAAAACACAATTTAAAACGTCAAAAACATAATTTAAATCATCATTATGTGAAACATATTAAAAACGTAAATTAAATTAAAATGCAAAAATCACAATTTAAATCATCATTATGTCAAACATATTAAAAACGTAAATTAAATTAAAATTAAAAAATCACAATTTAAATTATCAGTATGTCAAACATATTAAAAAACAAAATTAAGAACGTCAAAAACACAATTTAAATTAAATAAAAGTACCCAAATCACAGTTTAAATTATCATTATGTCAAGCATTTATCAAAAACACAATTTAAAACGTCAAAAACATAATTTAAATCATCATTATGTGAAACATATTAAAAACGTAAATTAAATTAAAATGCAAAAATCACAATTTAAATCATCATTATGTCAAACATTAAAAACGTAAATTAAATTAAAATTAAAAAATCACAATTTAAATTATCAGTATGTCAAACATATTAAAAAACAAAATTAAGAACGTCAAAAACACAATTTAAATTAAATAAAAGTACCCAAATCACAGTTTAAATTATCATTATGTCAAGCATTTATCAAAAACACAATTTAAAACGTCAAAAACATAATTTAAATCATCATTATGTGAAACATATTAAAAACGTAAATTAAATTAAAATGCAAAAATCACAATTTAAATCATCATTATGTCAAACATATTAAAAACGTAAATTAAATTAAAATTAAAAAATCACAATTTAAATTATCAGTATGTCAAACATATTAAAAAACAAAATTAAGAACGTCAAAAACACAATTTAAATTAAATAAAAGTACCCAAATCACAGTTTAAATTATCATTATGTCAAGCATTTATCAAAAACACAATTTAAAACGTCAAAAACATAATTTAAATCATCATTATGTGAAACATATTAAAAACGTAAATTAAATTAAAATGCAAAAATCACAATTTAAATCATCATTATGTCAAACATATTAAAAACGTAAATTAAATTAAAATTAAAAAATCACAATTTAAATTATCAATATGACAAACATTTTTGAATGCCAATAACTGAATTAAAGTGTAAAAAACACAATTTAAAACATCCAAAACGCAATTTTCTTCAAGGCGTACCCGGGCATGGCTCCGCAGGGTTACAACCCGCAGGGCGGCTGGGGCAACTTCCCGCAGCAGCAGCAACAGCCGCAGCAGCCGCAGTGGGGCGGCCCGAATCCGGGCGGCGACACGTCCGTGCCGCCGAATCCGGGCGGCGGCGGCGTGCAGGTGAACCCCAGCACCGGCCAGCCCGACTACTCGCTGCAGTGGGCCGACTACTACCGCTCGCTGGGCATGCACCGCGAGGCCGAGATGATCGAGCAACAGGTAAGCGAAAACTCGACATTTTTATTGGTTTTCCTTCAATGATACTGGACTCCCCCCTGTTAACGTTTACAAAACGTTTTTTGCATGATTTTATTATCCTTATTTATCATATATTTACCCTTACTTTTTTTCCTTAGGTCACCCTTGCCTTAAAATTAATTATTAACTTAACTTAGGTAGTTTTTGGTAAATGAAAAAGTTGAATCAAACAGTTTTAACTAAAAAATTAAAAACATTTCTAAGAAAACATTGTAAAATGTCCAAATTTAGAGTGTTAAATACACATTTAAGAAGAATATGAATTTAAAAAATAACTAAAAAATGTTGTCTTACTAAACTTATTTTAGCAATCAAAACTCAACTTAAAATGTTAAAAACACGGTTTGAGATAAGTAATTATTAAAATTTCCAAGAATGTCGATTTAGGAGACATTTTAAAATATTAGAGAGTCAAAAACATATTTTAGAATTTTAGGAATCATTTATTTAATTAATAAAAAAAATATAGTGTCAAAGCAAAAAGAATTTAAAGCATTTTCAAGAACTCAATTTAAAATGTATAAAACACAATTGAAGACATAAGTGGATAAAGGTGTTATGTCACATTTTAAGTAAAAAAGGACAAACAATGTTCATACTAGTAATACTTTTCTCTATTATTTTTAAACTTACAAGGAATTACCAAAATAAGTTTTTTTTTTAATTATTATTATAATTTACCAAACTGTTTTTTTATGCAAAAATAAAATTTAAAAATCTTCTTTATTTTACTACCTCAAATGTCAAATAACACCTTTATCCACTTATGTCTTCAATTAAGAGTGTTAAATACACTACAGAACAACTAAAAATGATAAAAACACAGTTTGGAATAAAGAATTATTAAATTTCAAAAACAAATTTTGTAGTGTCTAAACCATAAGAATTTAAAACATTTCTAAAAATGTTGTTTTCAAATTTCAAAAACAAATTTTTAGTGTCAAAACCATAAGAATTTAAAACATTTCTAAGAATGTTGATTTAGGAGACTTGCAATTTTAAAATGTAAAAATACATTTAAAAAAATTGTAAACACACTTTAGAGAGTCAAAACATATTTTAGAATTTAATGAATCATTTAATTAATAAAAAAAATTATACTGTTAAGCAATAAGAATTTAAAATGTAAAAAACACAATTTAGAAAGTTAAAGCCACATAGTAGAATGTCGAAAACACAATTTAGAGTGTTAAATAAAAATTTAAGAAGAAAAAGAATTAAAAAAATACCAAGGAAAGAAACTTAAAATGTTAAAAACACAGTTTGGAATAAAGAATTATTAAATTTTAAAAACAATTGTCAAAACCACATTTCTAAGAATGTGGATTTAAGAGATTTTAAAATGTCAAAATACATTTTGAAATATTAGAAACACACTTTGACAAGCTGTGACTTTATGGCGTTTTAGTCACGGGCTGAAGTTAGCAACAGTGGCTTTTGGGTATTTTAGTCACGGGCTTTATTATAAATTAGAAAAAAGTGAGGTTAATTTCGTTAACATTTGACAGATGTCAAATGTTTAACAAATAAAATTGGCTTTAAATTCTTCTCTGTGTTCGTCGTAGATAAAGTATAGTATGAAACTAGTTTTATAAACTTATCTAGACACTCGTTTTTATTAAACACTCACTTGCAAGCTTCGCTCGTGCCTAATAAAACTCGTAACTAAAATGGCGTTTATAAAACTTGATACATAATATACTATTAAAATTTTAGGAATCATTTAATTAATTTTAAAAAATATACTGTTGAGGCAATAAGAATTAAAAAAATGTTCAAGAACCCATTTTAAAATGTAAAAAACATAGTTTAAAATGTTAAAACCACATTGTAGTGTTAAAAACACAATTTAGAATGTTAAAAACCACATTGTAGTGTTGTGTTAATAAAGCACATTGTAGTGTAGAGTTAAGCAATAGGAATTTAAAACATTTCCAAGAGAACACAGAAGTTTATAACCACAATTTAGAGTGTTTAATACAAATTTAAAAAGAATAATAATTTAAAAAATAAGTCAAAAACTTGTTTTAGCATTCAAAACACAATTTAGAATGTTAAAAATACAATTTGAGTGTTAAATACAAATTTAAGAAGAATAATAATTAAAAAAAATAACTAAAAATGTTGTCTTGAGATGTCAAAATGTCAAAATACATTTTAAAATATTAGAAACATACGTTAGATAGTCAAAAACATATTTTAGAATTTTATGAATCCTTTAATTAATAAAAAAAGTTTTAGTGTTAAAGCAATAAGAATTTAACACATTTTAAAATGCCAAAGCTCAATTTAGAATGTTTAAAACACATTAAAAAAAAATCAATTTAGAGAGTTAAATACAAATGATTTAAGAGACATTTTAATACGTCAAAACTAAAGTATCCACTTTTTCAATTACTTGAAAAAAAAAAACCTAAATCCCGGGCGACCTGACCCCTCAACCGCGTTCCCTCATTCATTTTGTTCTGTTCAAGGCAAAACAAAAGACGATGACGGGCGCACCGCCTACAGGTCAGAACGGTCCGCCGGCCGTGGCGGCCGCCCCTGCGGCGGCGCCCGCCGGTGGCGGCGGCGGCCCCGACTACAGCGCCCAGTGGGCGGAGTATTATCGCAGCATAGGCAAGCACAAAGAGGCCGAGGCGATCGAATCCCAAATGAAAAGCAAGGTAAGAGGACAATAGCCGAAAAAAAAACCACCTAGTTTTTTAAACTCTTTAAGTTTCTAGTTTCGGACAGGACAAATCACAAATTTTTATAAAAAAAATATTATATACACTGCGCGTCAAAATTAACGCATAACAAGTAAAAAAAAATATAATTATTACCGGAAGAAGAATTATTTGGTAAAAAAATTTAAAAATATTAAAAAAATATACCACGGGAAGTTTTTTACTATTTTACGACAATATACTGCATTGTGCAGGTTTGAAGTTTATTTGTAATTTATAAAATTTAAAAATATGTTAATAAAATCCGCGTCTTTTTTTTTAGCATTTTAAACAAAAATATTTGGCCTGAAATTGTTTTTTATAAATAAATTGTTTATTTTTTATGTTTATAATTTTTTTGACAGATAGTTGGTTTTATTTACCTGTTCAGGTAAATCTTTCATAAAAATATAAATAACAAAAAAATAAACAAAATATTTAAAAAAAAAGCCGGTTATTTTAGGCCAAATTATCAGACAAAAAATAAATTTACCTTTTGGATAAAAATATCCTTAAAGCCTTTTTATTTAATAATAAAAAACGCTTGAAAAAAACTTTTATAGGGAAATGTTTTTTGAAGTAAATAAAAAATATATTACAACAATACACTGCATTGTACAGGTTTAAAGTTTTTTTATAATTTATAAAATTTAAAAAATATGTAAAAAAAATCCGCGTTGTTTTTTTTTTCGCATTTTAAACAAAAAATGTTTCAGGCATGCCTGCAAATTAATTATGACTCAAAATTTGGCCTGAAATGATCCATTTTTTTTGTGTTTTTTATGAAAAAAATGTTTATTTTTTTTGTTTATAATTTTTTGACAGATAGTTTAATTTACCTGTTTAGGTAAATCTGTCATAAAAATATTAATAACAAAAAAATCAACTAAATATTTAAAAAAACAAAAAAACGTGGGTCATTTTAGGCCAAATTATCAGACAAAAAATAAATTTGCCTGAAATAATAATAATAATAATAGTTATTTATTGATTATCATAATTATTAAAATAACAACAATCAAAAGGCCATTGATCTAGGTCCTTCAGCCACCTGCCTGAAATATTTTTTTGATAAAAATACTTACAACTTACAACACTCAGTTTACTTGTTCAAGGTTTTTTTGAGAAAATATCCTTAAAGCCTTTTTATTTAATAATAAAAAACGCTCGAAAAAAAAATTGTAGGTAATTTTTTTTTGAAGTAAATAAAAAATATTAGAGATGGGAAAATTTCCATTTGACGAAAATTCCCGAAATTTTCCGAAAGTTTCAAAAAAAAATTTTTTATTGCGAAAATATTTTTTTTATGCCAGGGATTTGCAAAAATATATAACACATTAACTTTTTGTCAAATTTTATTAAGAAAAAAAATAAAAAAAATGTTTATAAGAATGTAACTGCAATACTATTTTTAGTATCTTTTACTTTGGAATATTCCTATTGTATACTGAAACCTACAAAATAAAAATAAAATGTTTACCATTAGAAATTTACTGCTAGTAAATCCTAGATATTACGTAAAAAAAATTAAAAGGGACAAAGTAACTAATATATAGGAATATTGAAAAGTAAAAAGTAAAGTATAAAATAATTCCAAACACTAGATTTTTTTCTTGGCATTGTGCTATGCCTATAAATAAACAACAAAAATGTAAGAATGATTTTAACTTTGTTTATTGTTTTTATTTTGTTTACCTTTTTTAAAAAAGTTTTTTGTGATGATGCTGAATAATCCGGCTTCTTTGAGGTTATATAACATAACTTACATTATTTAAACTTCTTCTTCTGCTTTAAATTAACACACATTAAATTCTTATTCAAAGTTTCTTGGCCTTGTATCATGGCCTTAACGAAAATCAGCGGTTAAACAATTGACATTTAAATGAAAAAAACAAGGAAAGTTTCCAAGGAATGTTTCTGATAGCTTAAAAGAAACTTTCAAAATGAAAATAAATTCCCAATTGGAAACTTTCCAAAACGGAAAGTTTCCTTAAAATGGAAACTTTCCGATTCCCATCTCTAAAAAATATGCTGGGTAAGACCGTATTTTTGTTAGTATACCCTGAAAATGTTGTACAAATCAAACGAACAGTAACGAAAATACAGCGCTTCAAAAATTACCACTTTTCAGCAAAATAATCAAAAAGGGGTAATTTTTACCGACTTTGAAGCGCTGTATCTTCGTTACTGTTCGTTTGATTTGTACAAAATTTTCAGGGTATACTAACAAAAATACTTCCTTTAAAAGCATATTTTTTAATTACCTAAAAAAAATTCCCTGAAAGTTATTTTTTAAACGATTTTTTATTATTAAATAAAAGGGCTTTGAAAGTATTTTTATACAAAATTTCATAAAGATTGGTAAAGCCATTTTGAGTTTAATTTTTTTTTACTATTATGCGGTAATTTTGACGCTCAGTGTATTATTTTTTGTATTAAAATTGTCAAATATATTTTTTTATTACGCTATACATTAAATAAAAGAAAAACGCAAGAAATATTTTAAAAAGTAGACATAAATCTTTTTTTGTTCCATCCACACCTTTCAATTATTATTAAAATATTTCTTGCGTTTTTTTATTTAATGTATAGCTCAATCAAAAAAGAATGTTGACAATTTTGATGCCAAAATATTATCTACAATTTTTTTTATTTTAGTTTTGTAAGTTTTTTTTTAATATCCGGTCATTTTCTTAAATTGTCCTGTTATATTATACGAAATTTAGCTGTTTATAAAACTTTTTCCTGAATGACCCTTACGCCTGTTTTATTGAGGAAAATACATTAAAAATGATCCAGTTGAATGTTCGCGGTTGAATTTCATAAAACGAGAAAAAAAATGGGGAAAGAATTTTTCCGTATTTTTTTCAGACCCCTTCGAGCGTTACAGCAGGAGGTGGAGGCGCCTCAATGACAGCAGGAGCCCCAGGACAGGCACCCGCAGGTAGTTACCAGCAGCAAGCGTACGGTGCATATCAACCTCAAGCTGGTGCGTTTTGTTTTGTCACGTCCTCTCTCTAGTCCAGTCACTTTAGACATTGTTCTGGGGATAAAATACCAGGAGATTAATTTTTGACGTTAACACACACTTTTGGGCTACATATGGCAACCGCGCATTGCTGCATTTTCCTTTAAACTTTTTCCGTATTGTTGAAACAAAATAATTCAATTTAATGACAAATTTTAGCTTTCTGGGATTTGTCCTCAGATTGCCTTTTTTGTCTATTTTAACTGGACTATATTTTTTGTTTTTTTTTGGGTTTCACCATTTTCATTCATTGTTTTAAACAACATACCTTACATGCCATCTGCTTGTAACTTTCTAAAACTAATGCAAAACGTTTATTTTCATGTTATTGCATCTAAAGCAACATTTATTGTGGGGTAATTAACAAAAAAATTCTTAAAGGGGAAAATGTTGCATTATATGCGGGAAATTCTATAAGACATTTTTTGGTTTGGATGTTTTGATATAACAATTTAAATTTTAAAATCAATAGATATTTTTAACGCCTCTAAAAATTATTTTATGCAAAATTTCATTATTTTTTTAGTCAAAATTAAAATTTTTTGATTTATCATGATTGATTATGATTGTTTTAAAAACATTTTGACAGATGGTTAATTTTATTTACTGTTCAGATAAATCTGTCAAAAAATATTAATGAAAAAAAAACCAAATTATTTATAAAAAAACAAAAAAAACGTGGGTCTTTTATTCAAATTATCAGACAAAATTTAAATTTGCCTGAAAAAAATTTTTGACGTTTCTGAAAACTTCAATTTTAGTCGTGTTTGTACGTTTTAGCCAATCAAAACATTATTATAGTCAAACAAATCTTACAATTATTACCGGGAGAAGATTTTTTTGACATTTTATGCGAAATTCAGAAATATTTCTTTTATTTGGTTAAAAATATTCAAAATATAGAGTTTTTTACTATTTTATGGCAATACACTTCAGGTCTAAAGTTTTTTTTTTAATTTATAAAATTAAAAAATATGTTTAAAAAATCCGCGTCGATTTTTTTAGCCGTTAAACAAAAAATATTTCAGTCAAATTAATTTTGACTTAAAACTTGGACTAAAATGATTTAATTTGTTTTTGTTTTTTATGAATAGGTACATTGTTAATTTTTTTTATGTTTATAATTTTTTTTGACAGTTGATTTTATTTACCAGTTCAGGTAAATCTGTCATAAAAATATAAATAACAAAAAAATAAACGAATTATTAAAAAAAACGTGGGTCGACCCATTATCATTTTAGGCCAAATTTTATCAGACAAAGTTTAAATTTGCCTGAAATATTTTGACGTTTCAAAAAACTGTTTTAGTCATTTTTGTACGTTTTAGCCAATTAAAATATTATTATGGTGGAAATAATCTTAAAATTATTACCGGGAGAAGAATTTTTTAACAGTTTATGCGAAATTTGGAAATGTTTCTTTTATTTGGTTAAAAATTTAAAAATATTTATAACATACAGTTTTTTACTATTTTATGATAATACATGGATATTTTAGGCAAATTAATTTTGACTCCAACCTTTTTGTTTTTTTTTAATAAATCTAATATAATTCTTGAAATAGTTAATTTTATTTACCTGTTCAGGTAAATCTGTAATCAAACATATAAATAACAAAAAAATACGATTTCAGGCCAAAGTTTCAATCAAAATTTAATTTGCCTAAAATATTTTTTTTGATGCTTCTAAAACTTTCAATTTTAGTCATGTTTTTACGTTTTAGCCAATCAAGCATTATTATAGTGGAAATAATCTATAATTATTACCGGGAGAAGAATTTTTTGACATTTTATGCAAAATTTAGAAATGTTTCTTTTATTTGGTTAAAAATATTCAAAAATATACAACAGCTGGAGTTTTTTACTATTTACTATATATTTCAGGTTTAAAGTTTATTTTTATTTGATAAAATGTTAAAAAAATCCGCTTTTTTTATTTTAAACAAAATATTTCAGGCAAATTAATTTCGACTGAAAATTTGGCCTAAAATGAACCACATTTTTTATTTTTTGTTCAGGTAAATATAATTATAATCAATTAAAAAATTGGTATTTATTTAAAAAATTCACATTAAAAACAAAAACGGTTGCAGAAAGATCAATTTTTGGAGTTCTAAAATTTCAAAAAATTATGACGTATCGAAAACGAAAAAAAATATTGAAAATTTGCTGTAAAATAACCCATATACAGGGTACACCAAATATCCTGCTACAAGAGCTACAATTGATAAAAAAAATCGGCGGTTTTCAAATAATTTGAAAAAAACTGATTTAAATCGTTATAACTGTGTATTTCTGGGAATTATTTTTCGCCTACTAGATTTTTTCGTTTTTCCAATGGCCGCCATATTGAAATTTTACATGGTTTGATAAAAAAGATATGAAGGAATTCAACGATATATCAAACTTAATATGGTTGCAAATAAATTGGATTAAAAAATTCTCAAAAATAACTATTTCTGGTTTTAAAAGGTTTTTAGTTTGTTTTAAATATTTTGAAAACCGCTGTTTTTCTTTAATTAATATATTTCATTTTAATAGATCTGTAATTATGCAACTTTTCTCTAATTAACCGACTTTGTTGCTTTTCAAATAAAAACACCCTGTATATGCCAATAAAATAATTTGGAATAAAAAAAAAAGAATTTCATGATTTTTAAAAATGGTGGTAAATTTCGTCACACAAAAAATGTCTTATGGACGTCCTACGCGATAGAAAAAAAACCGACAACTTTCTAAGCCGTTCCCGCTCTTTAGGTGGCTACTACGGAGGTCAGCCGCAAGGTGGCGTGCAAGCGGGAGTGCCGCAAGGAGGCTACGGATTCCCCGCGTACGGTTACGGAGGTCCCGGATCCGGGGGCGCCCCTTCCGGACAGGACAACTAGTTTTTCGCTGGGGCCCGGTGAAACCGTGAGTAACTTTTATCGATCTCTCGTCGATTTGCTTTTTAATGTTTACAAACCTGATTATCTACTTTGGAAAACAATGTTGACTATACTATACTTACTTATTATATATTATTTCTATATTTGTGTTTGTGGGATTTATACATATTTGCAGCACACAATATTATTGCATACCTATTTGTTTGATTATTCTGTTATTTTCTATTATTTTTTTTTACTTTATATTTCAGGATTCTTATTATTATTTCAAATATTGTTTTTGTGATACTTGTTTTCATTGTAGTTTAAATTTGTTTACAGGTTTGCTGTTAATATAGACATAATTAAAATTACACTTTCTATAGAAAATTATCTCTATAGAAAGCAATAAAACAGTGGTCTGAGAGGTAAATTTACGCGGCAAAAACTTAATTTTTAAAACATTTTAAAAACTTGATGCCTCTTTAAAATCTTAAAATCTTTAGATCGGATTAAGATGAGTAAAAATACAACTTTAAAATGTCTTTTTTGGATTATTTGTCGAAAATTAGCGTGTTTTAACCTATAAATTCCCAAGTTTGTAACTTCAAATATTAAATGAAAAGTAATTAAAAATTTATAATAAGAATCACCTAGTCGAAAATATGACCGACTTTATAAAAATTCATATGCATTTATGCGCGTATAAAAAAGTTATGCAAAAAAAAGGTCTACCAAAATTACCTCCAATCTGGTCATAAAAGTTATATACTTTTTAAATTTGAAAATAATATAACAATAAAAAATTTTTTTACTCCTAATACATAATATTGTTTTTTTAATATACAGTGTGTTCAAGGATCGGGTTGAGAATAGAAAAAACTTTTTTATTATGATGAGAAAAAACATTTTTCTTAAAAACACCTACTTGTTTCAAAAATAAGATTCCCATACAAACATTTTGAATTTAAATGAAGAAATAAATTCTTTATAAAAATATCTGATTTAAAATTTAGTCTTCCATAAAAAAAATTGTACAGGGTGTTCAAAAATTAAAAAAATATATATGTACAGGGTGTTATGTAATTAATGTAATATATTAAAATACTGAATACCTTTTGATATAAGGTGTAACGGAAAAATATTTAAAAAAATATTTTCACAAAGATAAAGAAAAAATATGCATTAGAACTTTTTATATTTTTTTGCGATACACGCCCAAAACAAAGTAGCTGCGCGTTGCCAGTTGTTCAAAATTGTTACTAAAAATTTTTCTTGCAAAAAATAAATAAAAACTCATTAAATACAAAAGTATTATGCCCTTGAAGCTCTAATACCCTTCTGTATTTATTTACTCGTCCAGCTATTAGCTTAAGAAATGATTATAAAATTTAGTGCCCATTTTAAAAACTCCATAACCACAAAATTAATTTTTTTAATCGGTTTTTTTATATCTGTTTACTCAGATGAAATTTGGACAAGTTCACAGATTAACTTTAAACATTCAATTTGTGTAAATAAATCCAAAAGCACTTCCCTTAGTTAAGATATTTACAATTTGAGCACATAACCTAAAATTTTAAAGAAATGCACTAGAATAAAAACGCCAAATTAACAATTTGCATTTTGTCATTTTTGTAAATTTAAACAAAATCTGGCAACCTTTTTGACAGAATCTGGAAACGATGGTTGTTACCAACCAAAACATAATAAATTAAATTAGGCAACCAGATTAGCCTAAAGTTCCTAGTCGATCAGTGGCGTGCTTTTTGGTAGGGAAAAGGTTATTATAAATTATTTTTAGAATTTAGAAAAAAACTTTCATTTTAATATACATATTACATTAATTACATAACACCCTGTATTCTTTATAAAAAATCCTGCTTATTTAAAAAAATAAGATTCCTATACAAGAATTTGTAATTAAATGTACAGGGTGCTCAGAAAACCTAATTAGGTTTTTATAAAATGCGTTTTACAGAAAAATTCATTTTTTATAAAAACTTCTGATGGTTTAAAATTAAGATTTCCTTTAAAAAAATAAATCAAATGTACAGCAAAATGCTTCAAGAATTTTTGTATGTGAATCTGATTTTTGAAAGAAGTATTTAAATAAAAATAATAACACATTGGCTAAAATCCAGCCAAAAGGTGGTTAAAATAAATATGGTAAATGTGAATACTTTGAAGGTAATGGTTTTTAGGTTATTCATGATAAAAAATTATATTTGCACAGAAAAAAAATATAAAATAATAAATTTAAAAAATAAACCATGTTGTAAAGTATTTTCAAATATGATTGCTTATTTCAAACATAAAAAAACATAAAAAATACACGAATATTGAAAAAATTCATTTCTCATCTCATCTCTTTGGCTAGACTCCCCTTTCCTTCCCCAATACCAAATATATTTGAAAAAAAATATATCAGAAGTGAATTTAGCACCCTCAAAAACATAAAAAGTTACGTGTTGGAAAAAATATTTAAAAATAATTTTTGACGCGTAAATTTACCTTTCTATGAAGGTCATTTTCTATAGAAAGTAAGGACGCAAATTTCTAGGAATTCCTTATAATTTGCGTCTTCACTTTCTATAGAAAATGATCTTCATAGAAAGCAATACATTTATCAGAACTGTACTGTAAATATATATATAATAATATGGTTATTGACAGCAAACTGGCATTTACAGCAGGTGGTAAGTTGCAGCCCGAAATCAGTTTTGTCTATCATTTGCAGATTAAAAATGTCACATTTGGCCCCAAAATATCCAAGTTAGATCCACAGGAGAAACGTTTCTTAGCATTAAGAAAATTTTAACAACTTTCTTAGTAATAAGCATCTTTATTTTATCAGCAGTAAGAGTGTCCGTCAATAGAAAGGGAAACCGCAGCGCAAACTAATTCACTTTTACATATAGATTTAAAATAAAATAGACTTTAAGATTTTTTTTGTTCATTACATTACATAATATGGCTGACGATTTTTTTAGTTTCTTGGAACGCTTTCCAAGTTTAATAAAAATATTGGCCGTGATAAAAAGTATTTTTTTATTTTGTCCCCTTTTTTGTAATTTTTTTATACACCCTTGGATTGTTTTCATTTATAATTAATTAATCTCAATATATTACTTGACTAAGAGACTAGCTTCCACTTTATACAGTAACTATGTAGAAAATAGGTTAAACAAAAAATGTGTGTTAGAATGTTATTTATAGGCAAAAGTGGGCGATGTCGATGGAGTATGGACCGACTAAATGGTAAGATTTAATTTTAAGGTATTTTATTGTACTGTATATTCTACAAAAGTTACGAAAGCATCTCATGAAGCGCAAGCCAACAACAATAAATGATCTGTTTTTAAAAGTTTTATAGTGTAGACTTTATTTTCATTGAGAAGAAAAATAACAAAATTGTTTCGTTTTTAAAAACAGAACAATTATTTGCAGTAAAGAAATTTAAACATTTGTGTGTCAAAAGTATTCATTCCTGGTAAAACGAACGTTAAATTTCTTCACTAATCAAATAAAAAGACATTTTGCGCATCGCAGCTTGTATTAACTAACGATGTATATTTAATTTAAATTAAACACTACCAGCGATTTGTATCAATTGGTATTTTTTTTAGTTTCGATATTGTAACCCACTTAATGTACAGCAGTTAAACTGCTTATGTATGAATTGAATTAAACATAACCTGATACCACATTGTCTTTGTTGTTTCTGTTATTTTTGCAGCTCAACCCACTGAAGGTAACGTATTTTTACCCGACATTTTCCCATTGTTATTTATTGCGATACCAGATTTTATTGTGATTTATATGCTGTACATTTATATTTATTTATTGACTGAAATTATTGCATTTTTATATTTGACTGTCTATATTGCCTATTTTATATTGATTTTTATTGCATATATACATTTTATTGGGTGATACTAAAACCATGTTTATTGATTATTATATTCGCAAATATTTTTGATGCTGCTGGATTATTTACTATTTACATTGATATTTATTTCACAATATGAAATTTTCATTTACTTACATAAAAAATATTTTTTATTTGCAGTATGGTGAGTGTATCTACATTAATTTATTGAAAGTATGCATATATTTCGCAGTAAATACTAGTGGGGGACTGTTAAAGAGAAACGAATAAAAAGCAATAATATGCTAAAAACGTAAGAATAGAAGGTTGGTAAGTAATTTAGGTTAAATCTTTTAAAATAATTGCTCAGAGCGTCACCAAATAGGTTTTCATAAACGCCAAAATAAAAAGTTTTTCCTCTATCATATGTAATTTTTTTTTACAAAAAAATCATTAAAATTTCCATAAGCAAAGTAGGAATTTTGGGCCGGCACTGGTTGCCCAGTGGGCAATAATCTACATTCATTAAAAATTTGCATTTGTGATATCATTGATTTGTTGTTAATTGTTTTTTGTTTTGTATACTTAGTTATTTTTAGGTACCTTCTTTGAATAAAAAAAAAACTTACTTTTCATTGTTAGGTATTTCGAGGTTTCTGTGGTTTTTCCGTCGATTTTTAATTTAAAATTTCATAATTTTTTTTATTAAATAACAGTTACTAATGCAAAAATGATAGAGAAAAAACTTTCTTGTTTTGGCGTGAACTATCATCCTCCCAAAGGATGACAATTTATTAGGTAACACCCTGTATATAAATTGTTTTTTTGTATTGGAGTATACACAATCATTTCAATCGTTCGAGAATTATATCTATTACCATTAGTAATAATTTTTTTTACTGTTTTTAACTCCAAGTACTTAAATTAAATGCTCTTGGTAAAAAACTATGTTGAAGGAATCACATTTCGAAAAAAGCAGGTTTGGCGCACTAAAAAATTCAAATAAAAATACGCACCAATGCACACCACTTGTTTGACAAAAAAAGATACATGATAAAAAACAAATTAAAAAGTAGTTATTTAATGATAAAACTTGTATAATTTTTAAATTCACATTGATCTATTCCTAACCTTCCCAGACAGTTTTACGTTTTCAAGAGCCAATATAAATTTCAGTCATGTGTGTACAGTTGGGAACAATAGCTCAGTCTCTCTAGGATCTTAACCACGCAATGGCTGCAAGCGAATATAAACCTAACAGTGGTACTAATCCAATGCACATGACCAATCAAAAGATTATTATATCGGAAATATTATATACGCTAGAGAAGTATCGCTAGTAGCGCCATCACTCGGCTGTTATCATCGTAATAAAAATTCAACTTTTAATAATCCATGTCCAACGCCCATGTTACAAACGAGTGTTTAAGAATAAAGCCGGAAAATGTTAAAAAATATCGGGAAAAAAACCGTGGCACGATTTGTGGTGTTGTTGGGTGTATTTCGAGAGGAAATCCTGAGTTGAGTTTTTACATGTTTTCCAATAAACAGTGTTAATCCGGATGAAGAAATAAATTTTATACAGTCGCTGTAAATATAAATTGTATCTAATAGATACAATAAATACACATTTTAGTAATGATTAACGTGAAGAGTGTAAATATTTCAATTCAGTAAAAATCGTCAAACAAATAAGTCGTCTAAATTTAAACAGCATTTAGCATTATTAAAAGCGTTGATTAAGAAAGTCTCCAATAAACGGTAAAATACCATTATAATACGTATGTATTATATATAATATTATGTCCTAGGTATATTTTGTTGTTTAAAATGCAGTTGTCGGCGTTTTTTAAAGAACTCAAATATAAAAATTGTTGATTTTAAGGATATGTGTGCAAAAATTATTTTTTACTAATTTCTTAAAAATGTCCAAACTTAAATATAAATTATATTTGGTAAATTTATCATTAGTTAATTCTGCACCAACAAATGTACTTACCGAATTGGATCCTTTGGCAAAACATGAAAATGCAACGATTTAGTTCTTGAATTTTATTTACAATTAAAAACACAATAATTCACCATGATCCCTTAGATACAATACACACACTAACGTAACTATATAGGTATAAGTATAAGCATTTAAGCGTTGAGTTTTTTTTCAATGATATAAAGAATAATCAATCGTAATCGAGTACAAACAAAGTTAATTTTTTCCTTGCAACGTAAAACACAAATAACGTGCGCGATTTAGCTGTGCAATTGAACAAAATTTGTCGAGTAAGACTTCTGCCTTCCTCTCTTGTGAAAAAACTACCTATTTATTTAAAAATAATGTAGTTCGTATGCTTTAAATGTATTGTTGACAATTCTTAAATTCACGCAATGCTATCGAAGTCCACCAGATGGCGGGCGCGATGGAAAACCCGATAATTCTTTAGCGTATATCTACTAGAATTTAGTTTCGCGAAAATTGTATGATCTGTCAGATGAGATATGTATGTATAGTAGAGGATCCCAAGTAAGGTCGACCTTCACCCATCTGCTTACCAGATGAAAATTATATTTTATCAAATAAAATATGTTTCTGAAAATAAACCAATAGGGTTGCCATAAAAAATATGATCAAGGCTAGCTATAATAAATAAAAAATTAAAAAAAAATAATTATTTTTTTAAATTTCACCGACTTGCTTGCCAAATGAACGAAATTCCAATGGAAAGCATACAACATACAGAATATGTAACAGCTAGGTTGCCTACCTTTTTCTGGTCCCTATTACCTGGTTGCTTTGTACAGGGTGATCCCCTATAATGTCGCCCCCCTTTAACTTTTTTATTTTAAGTGTCCCAAAAAATTTAAAAGTTTGGTTATGTAGGTACTAAAAAATACTTTTTTTCTACGTATAAAGAAAATTGGAAAATTGATCAGTATACAGGGAAAACAAAAAGTTTATTTTTTTTCAATGGATCACCGTATATATGAATTTATTTTTCGATTCCTTGTAAAATTCTGAGCATAATTTATATAACAAACCATATACCTAAATTCAACCGTTTCTGAAATATTCGCATTCGAAATGTCATCATTAAATGTTTTTTTAAACTGTTAGAAATCAAGAAGCCTCAGTATACCAAAATGTTTATTGAAAATAAATTACTATAGTGACATTATGTCAATAAGTGTTGTTATTGACAGACAGAGAAAAACAAACTATTTCAACTTATTATCTTAAAAATAATTTAAATATTTCAGAAACGGTTGAATTTAGGTATATGGTATGATATATGAAATATGCTTAGAATTTTACAAGGAATCGAAAAATAAATTCATATATAGGGTGATCCATTGAAAAAAATAAACTTTTTGTTTTCCCTGTATACTTATCAATTTTCCAATTTTCTTTATACGTAGAAAAAAAGTATTTTTTAGTTCCTACATAACCCCACTTTTAAATTTTTTGGGACACTTAAAATAAAAAAGTTAAAGGGGGGCGACATTATAGGGGATCACCCTGTACAAAGCAACCAGGTAATAGGGACCAGAAAAAGGTAGGCAACCTAGCTGTTACATATTCTGTATGTTGTATGCTTTCCATTGGAATTTCGTTCATTTGGCAAGCAAGTCGGTGAAATTTAAAAAATTAATTATTTTTTTTTAATTTTTTATTTATTATAGCTAGCCTTGATCATATTTTTTATGGCAACCCTATTGGTTTATGTTCAGAAACATATTTTATTTGATAAAATATAATTTTCATCTGGTAAGCAGATGGGTGAAGGTCGACCTTACTTGGGATCTTAGACTAGTAGAGATGCGACTTGAAAAAAAACGGTCCGTTTTTTTTGTTTTTTTTTTCAGGTTTTTTTTCATTGTTTTTTTTTCACATTTTAGTTTTTTTTTTCAAGATTAGTCCCATTTGCCTATTTTTTTATGTTTCCATGGACTAAAATTAGCCACTAAATGACAATTAGTAAATATAAATACAGTCTCGCGCTATGCACGCGCCACAACCACCGATTTGACCAATAAGGGCCGCGCTTGTTTTGATTTGGTCCTAAAAAAAGTAACTACAGATAATATTTTTGATTCAGCGCGTGATTTTTCAAAAAGCTACCAAAAGTGCTTTTTTCATGATTTTTTAAATTCATCCAGAGTATGGAATTTTTTTTTCAAAAAAACAATAGCAAATTCTTGTAGAACATTTATTCAGTCACAACATTCCGTGGACCAAAAAAGAAAGCAAAAAATTTTTTATTACGGTATTTGTTAGGATTGAGCGTTGCACGTTTTTTATCTGAAAAATCTCAAAACTATAAACTTCAAGCTTCAAATTGCTTTTTTTACGGCTCCAATACGACCATTTTTAACAAAGATACAGCTATCCGAAAAATCGCAAACAAATTTTTTTATCCTTTAATTTTTTGTATTAGTGTAGAAGTTTTACATTGCTATTGGTTTCTAATGTGGAAACTACCAAATAATAAGAAATCAGATTTTTAGTCTTGGTCAAAATTTTCAATAATGAAAAATGTAATATATTCTACATTTCACTTTATTATTAATATACATTTTACTTAAAATTTCATTTTGAAAAAAAACAAAAAAAAACCGTTTTTTTTCTAGGTTTTTTTTCATTTTTTTTTCACATCTGAAAAAAAAACCGTTTTTTTACATCTCTATATGTATGTTATCAGTATTTTAAAATTAACAGCAAAAGGTTTAGTTCAACATCTGAGGATGAAATAAACGCTCAAATTAGAAAAAATACATAAAAAATACCCAAACCTGCAATAAATCAATTTGGAAACTATTTTAAACGTTTTGTAGTGAAAAAGGATACACCCTTGAAGAAACTACACCAGTTAAAAAACTGGCATGCATTTTAAAGATATAGCATGAAAAGGTTTGATGGACCAAATTATAAAGAATTGGTTATAAAAACTGTGGAATAAAACCGCCAAATTAATGCAAGACTTATTATAGTTAATTTTGATATAGGTAACTTAGTAGTTTAATTTAGATTGTAATTTAATAACTTTTATAATAAAGAAAATTAAAACCAATGTCATTTTGTAAACGCTATATCGTCAAAAATAATCTTTTGAGTACCACTCGAGAGATCAATAAATTAAAAAATAATTCTGCAGAAGTTTCTTAAACTTGTCATTCACTATTGCCAGACAACAAGTTTTCGAAATATCTTAAATTTTGATATTACTGTTAAATAATGTTTAATTATACAGGGTGTTAAAAGAAAGGGTAAAATATTTCTAGGACGTATAGTAGGTCCAAATAGAAGACAAAAAGTCCCTTGGCGATTTTTGATCAGACTTGCCCTTAATTAGTTATTAATTAAATAAAGAAGCCAATCACAGGCGTGCTTTAGCAGAATAAGGATAAGGTGCGACAAACTAAATAAAATGTCAGAAAACTTAACCCAAAACCGAAACACTAGCATGACAACTATACAATTACACAGTGACTAGAGGCACGCTAACGTACCGCGATTGGAAATATTAAAGGCACGTTAGTTACGTCATAATTATAATCCGTTTTT